GTGAAAATGAGTTTGACACCCCTGCTATAAATCAATCTGAGATGGCTGCTATTTGGGCTGGGCTTGGGGGTTCCCAGGTGAAGCCAAGCTGTGAATCTAAACTGGCTGCTGCTAGTGCTGGGCCTGGGGCTCACTGGAGCTACCTGTTGCTTGTTTGATAGGATTTAGGAAGTTGTGAAGCATGAGCCAAGTCCAGCCATTCATATGGAAAAGTAGCTTGGGTGGGCCAATTTGAGTCTCTTGGGATCTCCAAGGAAGATCAAACAGTGTTAGCCAGGTTGATGGAGTCTCAGATACAGTACTAGCTTACTAACTCTGTTGGGGTGAGGGGTTAGAAGAGGGACAGTCATCTCTGCTCGCCTTGAAGCCAAACTTCAGTTAGCACTGTTGCCTTTCAAGTTGCTACCCTGGTGCTGGAGCTCAGATGGAATGAGTCTGAATAGGTGGGTCCATGTGTGGGTTCTTTAAGAGGAACTGGTTATGGCTCCAGAATTTTCTTCCACCAACTCAGTCCACGCTGATTTTTGCAGCCAGAAGTTGTAGGGGCTTGTTTTCCTGGCACTGGAACCCTGGAATGGGTACCTGGTGTGGGGCTGGGACTCTTTGTTCCCAAGATATCCTTCTTGCATTTTTATCCACCACATGTGGGTGTGGGACCATCCTGTTCTTCATCTGCACTTCCCCTACCAGTTTGGATGTGGTTTCTTTAGTTGTCAGACTTCCATTCAGCTTAATTTCTGATGGTTCTGAGTGATGATTGTTCTATATTTTGGTTGTAATTTTGATGTGGTTGAGCAAAGAGGCAAGCCATGTTTGCCTAGATCACCATCTTGATCGGAAGTCTGTTTTTATACCAAATCATGCTGTTTTGATTACTATAGCCTTATAGGTAGATAGTAGGTAGTGTGGTTCCTCCAACTTTGTCCTTCTTTCTCAGGATTGCTGTTGCTGTGTGAGGCCTTTTATCATTCCACATAAACTTTAGAAATATTTCTTCTAGTTCTGTGAAACACAATATTGGAATCTTGATAGGAATTGCATTAAATCTGTAGATTGCTTTGGGTAGCATGGACATTTTAATGTTAATTCTTCCTATCTATGAATACTGTATGTGCTTCTACTTATTTGCAAATTATCTTTTTATTCTGTGAATTTGGTAAGTTGTAGTAGCCATAGTTATTTTTAATGCTCTCTACTTTTATGCTATAATTGTTTATGCTGCTATTCTAAAGGAGTTACAGTTCTCAATCTGATTATCACTTTAGTAATAGTCTTGTGCACATTTGTCTTTTCATTTCAGTTTGAAGACCTTCCTTCAACATTTCTTATGAGACAGGTGGTGAACTCCCTCACTTTTTGTTTGGGAAAACCTTTATTTCTCCTGCATATCTGAAGGATAACTTTGCTTGAGAGTTGGATAGCAATTTTTATCTTTCAATACTTTGAATATGTCATTCTACTCTCTCCTGCTCTGTAGAGTTTCTGCTTAGAAGTCTGTGGACAGCCTAATGGGAGTTCCTTTGTATGTTACTGTCTTTTTTTCTGTGCTGCATTAAAAAAATTTTTCAATTGTTGTTCAAGTACAGCTTTCTGCCTTTTACCGCCATCCCAGCCCATCCCCCCAGCCCTCCCCACCTCCCTCCCATTTCCACCCCTTGTTATTGTCCATGTGTCCTTTATACTTGTTCCTGCAAACCCTTCCCCTTTCCCCCTGATATTCTCTCCCCTCTCCCCTCTGGTCACTGTCAGCCTGTTCTCAATTGCAGTGTCTTGGGTTATATTTTGCTTGCTTGTTTGTTTTGTTGATTAGGTTCCTGTTAAAGGTGAGATCATATGGTATTTGTCTCTCACTGCCTGGCATATTTCACTTAGCATAATGCTTTCCAGTTCCATTCATGCTGTTGCAAAGGGTAGGAGCTCCTTCTTTCTTTCTGCTGCATAGAATTCCATTGTGTAAATGTACCATAGTTTTTTGATCCATTCATTTACCTGTGGGCATCTTAGTTGCTTCCAGCACTTGGCTATTGTAAATTGTGCTGCTATGGACATTGGGGTGCATAGGTTCTTTTGGATTGGTGTTTCAGGGTTCTTAAGATATAATCCTAGCAGTGGAATTGCTGGGTCAAAAGGCAGATCCATTTTAAGTTTTCTGAGGAAATCCCATACTGTGGGATTCCATTGTGATTACACCAGTCTGCAATCCCACCAAAAGTGCATTAGGGTTCCCTTTTGTCCACAACCTTTCCAACACTTGTTGATTGTTGCTTTGTATATGATGGCCATTCCCAATGGTGTGAAGTGGTACCTCATTATGGCTTTAATTTGCATCACTCTGATAGCTAGTGATACTGAGCATCTTTTCATGTGTCTCTGTTTTCTCATGTGTCATGTGTTTTCATGGATCCCCTATATGTCCTCCTTGGAGAAGTGTCTGTTCAAGTCCTTTCTTGCCCATTCTTTAATTGGGTTGCTTGTCTTAGAATGGAGTTGTGTGAGTTCTTTACGTATTTTGGAGATTAAACCCTTGTCTGAGGTATCATTGGCAAATCATTGGGCAAATATGTTTTCCCATATGGTTGGTTCTCTTTTTAATAGTTTTCTTTAGCCATGCAGCTTTTTGTTTTGATGAGATCCCATTTGTTTATTCTTTCTTTTATGTCCCTTGCTCTAGAGGACAGACATATCAGTGAAAATATTGCTGTGTGGAATATCTGATATTTTCCTGATGTTCTCCTCTAGGACTTTAATGGTGTCATGACTTACATTTGTCTTTTATCCACCTTGAATTTATTTTTGTGTAAGGTGTAAATTGGTGGTCAAGTTTCATTTTTTTGCACGTAGCTGTCCAGCTCTCCCAACACTATTTGCTGAAGAGGCTATTTTTATTACATTTTATGTTGCTGCCCCCTTTGTTGAATATTAATTGACTATGGAGACTTGGGTTTATTTCTGGGCTCTCTGTTGCATTTAAAATTCTTTATCTTTGACTTTTCACAATTTCATTATGTGTTTTGGAGAAAGTCTTCTGCATTGAGATAATAAATTGTTCTGTTAGCTTCTTGCATTTGTATACCTTGTTTCTTCCACAGCTTTGGGAAATTCTCAGCTATTATTTCTTCAAGTGTTCTGCCGCATTCTCTCCTCCTGTCATACCAATTAATCTTATGTTGGCTTTTTTAATAGAGTCTGATGACTCTTATAGTGTTTCTTCACTTTAAAAAAAACTTTTAAAAAAGATTTTATTTTTAGAAAGAAGGGAGGGAGAAAAGAAGGGAAAGAAGCATCAGTGTGTGGTTGCTTCTTGTGCACCCTACTGGGGCCCTGGCCCATAACCCAGGCATGTGCCCTGACTGGGAATCAAACTGGCAACCCTTTGGTTTGCAAGCCAGTGTTCAATCCACTGAGCCACACCAGTCAGGGATAAGAATTTTTGTTGTTTGTTCTTTTTCACCTAAATTAATTTCTAAATTCCTATCCTCCAGTTAATATATTTTCTCTTCCATCTGGTCTTTTGCAATACTTGCTAATGTATTATTGTCATTCATTGAGTTCATCAACTCCAGTTGTTTTTCTTTAGCATTTTTTAAAGATTTATTTATTTTAGAGAGATGAGGAAGGGAGGGAGAAAGAGAGGGAGTAAAACATCAATGTGTGGTTGCCTCTAGCACACCCCATACTGGGGATATGGCCTGCAACCCAGGCATGTGCCCTGACTGGGAATCAAACCGGCGATGCTTTGGTTCACAGACCTGCGCTCAATCCACTGAGCTACACCAGCCAGGGCCGTTTTTCTTTAGAATTTCAATCTCTTTGGTAAAGCACTGCTTCTGCTCATTACTATTACTCAAATTCATTGAATTGCCATTCTAAGCTTTCATCATAATAGCTATTTTGAATTCTTTACCAGTTTGACCATAATATTGTGTCTTTTGGTTTGCTGAAGTTTTTCTTTTTGTGATGTATTACTGAGATTTTTAATAAATGTCTTAGTGTGCCTTTGTTGTTACCTTTGGGTAGTGAACACCCTTTTGGTTTAGGTCAAGCTTCGCTTGTTTACTTTTATTCTACCAGTTCAACACATGGGCAATTAGAAGTTCATTTTCCAGAAGGTGGTGCTATAGTGTAAGTTTTTGTTTCTCTTACTGAAGCTGACTTGGGGTAAAGTTGAAAATGTGAGCATTAAAATGGTGGCTTAAAAAAAAAAGGCTGGTGGCAGAGTTGGGGGAGGTACGTACTTATTAGCACTTGGGGCTTTGGGTGTGCCCACAGCTAAGGAGGGAGATCCTTGACTGGGGGAGTCCTGGAATCCAAGGGCCGACAGCAGGAAACGTGTTCCTTCAGTTATTGTTGTCTTCTCTTCCCTTTCTTTCCCCACCTCCTCTTCCCCAGGTGTTGCTCAAGAGCAATGGGCCCCTTGGCTCTAGTCCACATGGCTGGGCAGACTTTGACTCACACTTTTCACTTTCCACCTCCTTTGCTAGAAAGTTTGCCACTGTCACCATTGGTGAGACTCCCCTGGCTTGTAGCCTCCAACTAGGTCCAGTTCACCTGCTTTGGGACACAATAATGGATGACCTGGAGGTCCTAGGGTACAGTGCAGTTATCTACGTGATCCAGATGACAAAAGCTTAAGTAAGGAAAATGGTGGAATGGACAGGAGAGAATGGGTTTATAAAATATTTGAAATAGAAAACTTAGCTTTAACACTGATAAGACTGCTCACTTAAATACTGTTATAAATTTTCTTAAGAGACTATGCATGATGACCAAATTATTTTGGTACCAATTTTGCATAGACCAAGAGGGCCAGGGCTAAGGTTCAGACTATAATGAATTAACATGTGAAAAAAAAAGTATTTTTTTAGTATTGTTTGATTTGTGTATTAGAAGAAATCAACATTTCATTTTGAAGCAGATGCTAGGAGACACTCATCAAAAAAGTTCCCAAATAACATTTCTGCAAAAGAAACTTAAGGTAAATAACTAGAACAAGAACAAAGTTTAAAAGTCAGTTGAAATTCTCTTTTAATTAGAGACCCAAGGGACAAGAAGCTCCTTTGTTACAGTGCGTAACATATGGCTCTTCTATGGAGTGAAACAGACATCAAGGAGTCAATGTTCATGCCAGCACCGAACTCTTTACCACAGCAGGTGAACAGTGAAGCGGGGTCTCCCTTACCAGCACTGAGACTGTAGTACATTTTTACATGCAGTAAGCTCTTTGGTAGACTTCATCATTCAGTGGAATTACAGAATTTGCAAGAGAGTAATAGTAAAATATTTCATGTGAGATTTGAACATAGTGCTTCTCATAAGCAATTTATACAGACCTCAGAAAAAAGTCAATCCTAGTAAACTTTTTAAAATATTGCCCGAAAACTTACCAAATACCTTCTGTGTTGGTCAAATACACACACACACACACACACACACACACACACACACACACACACAACAAATCTAAGGTAGGATAGATAATGAGTTTCTAAAATGTTTGGTCATGATGTTCCTAGTCATTGGTCAAATGGAAATTAATCTGAAGGACATGGAATTCTTTGAAACCCTGGACAGCTACTCCTTTTTCCTCTCCGACCTCCCCCAAGCACCTCTCTAAGGCACCATTTTGGACAGCTATCTAATGATACATCTTAAACAAGTACATGAATAATGGCAACAATATTTTTCAACTACGACACCATAACATCCTCAAGATTTTGCCTTATCATACATGAAGAATGTGGGTGTTTAAAGGCTGCTCTTAAGCACATCACTAACCACAAAAGAAAAGTCTGTGATACAGAAAGGACTATCAGTGTGATCTGTCATGAGAGTGAAGTATGTAGAATGCCAGGGAATTTCAGTGTTGATTTGAAAATTGATGCAATAAGCTCTCTTCCTTCAAGAGGTATGTTTTTGAAATGCTTTGTATTTTGATTTTACCAGGCACCAAAATTTCTAAGACAGCATTTTTCTTTTAAAATCAGAAACATTCCCACTGTGGATCCAGGATTGAAGCATTTTAATATTCTTTAGGCGACTAATAAGTTAGTGTTATAATCATATAATTACCTATGGAATTATTTCACATAAACCACCTGCACTGCTATAGTTCTAAACTCAGATTCAAAATAAATAAAGCGACTGAATTTCTCTCAGATGGATTCTGAATTCAGAAGACTTTCTACTCAAAGCTGCCATTGTAATCAGGAGTCCGTGGCGACGCTGGCCCCTGTCCAACGTGCTCTCACACGACCGTCTGGACGGGAGTGCCACACTGCGCGGGAGAGCCGGCCCGCTCTGAGGAGGAGGTGGACCGGTTGGAAATCTCTCTCTGCAGCTCTTCTACTTTCTTCTGAAGCTCTGCTCGTTTAGCAAGAAGTTCTTTGTATCTGTTGTGAATGGGCTCCTACAAGAGCAAAACACCACGAAATTATTCCAACTAGGAAATCCTAAGCAAACCCAAAGTCAAATTCTGGTATGTAGTTCTTCCCCTAAATGTTGCAACGTGTGTTTCTTTCTCAGCCGCGGAGCCCAAGCCCACCTTCCAGCACTGCTGCTCTTCCATGGGCTTGCTTTCCTGATGCCACAAGTATATCTACACAGTGTCCTGAAGCCGGTACTTTCCTAAACAGTCATTAAGAAGGCAATCTACAAGCCAGTGCTCAAAGATTTCCTATCATTTAGTTTCAGGTTTTTAGTCTTTTAAACAGTTCTAAGTAGTAAATATTCCATATTCCAAAATGGACAAGAATTTTGTTAAGATTTTTATATTCTTAAAGCTATTTCCCTAACGTGTTAAAGCAAGACCTCTGCAAGTTAACCAGTCTGACCCTTCATCTTATGGAGAAGGGAAGAAAAGGCAAAACTGAAGTGGTTTGTCCAAAGTCATCCAAGCAAAGTCATGGTAAGAACCAAGTATACCGATTACCCCTGTGCGGTGCTTTTTCTACTGTACGTAACTATTAACAGGAAAAAGGGACAATTTTAAATATGCACAGATAATTTTTCTAGCTGCTTTAAAGGGAACAAGCATAATTTATACAACTGCATGGATGAAAACTCCCACTGCACAGCATACCTGTGGTTTCATCCGTGGATTCCACCTTACGTAATACCCCACCCAGAGCTCTAGGTGGCGCATGCTGGCTACTGGATAAAGGACGTGATTGGAGTAGCTCCCATAGAGAGGATTAGTGAAGTCTTCCAGCTGGCTATTTATGTAAGACCACAGTGAGACAGTCCTTTTAGGAAGATTCTGTAAGAAGAAAAAATAAAGATTCTTCATTATATAAGCTAATTATACTAGGTAGAAGTTGTAAAGAGGTGTATTATGATCGTTAAAATCTCTATAGAGGGAGATAACTTTGACACTTCAGTGATTGCCCCACTGACATTAAAATCAGAGGATATTGGAAGATGGTGCAATTCCCCAGAAAGCTCAACTGAGAGTTATCATGCCAGAAATTCCAGTCTTCGGTGCACACCCAAGAGAACTGGAAAGATGCACACAAAATCTTGTACACTGATGTTTGAAGCAGCATTACTTATAAGAGCCAAAAAGTAGAAACCCAGAAGTGTACCAAGTGATAAATGGGTAAGATAGTTTATGTGTATAATGGAATATTCAGCCATAAAAAGGAATAAAGTATTGGTACATGCCACAGATTAAGCCTTATGCTAAGTGCAAATATTGTGCTGTCGGTGATTTTCAACCTTTTTCATCTCATGGCACACACATAACTAATTACTAAAATTCTGTAGCATACCAAAAAATATCTTTTTTCTGGTATGACAAAAAATACACATAATTTTGATTCACTCAGACCACACAGCTATTGTTGTGTTGGCTGTTGTCATTTTTTAATTTGACAATCTAAGGGGAAAGAGGTCAGTGCCCCTGACTAGTCACGTACTGCATTTTTTAAAAATTCTTGCAGCACACAGGTTGAAAATTGCTGTGCTAAGTGAAAGAGGCCAGACACTAAGGCCACATCTTGAATGACTCCATTTCTCTGAAATGTCCAGAAGAGGCAAATCCACAGAGTAGATCAGTGTTTGCCAGGGGATGGGAGGAAAGGAGAATGGAGAGTAACTACTAACAAGTACACAGTTTCTTTTCAATGTTCTGAACATAGTGGTGATGGTTGTATAACCCTGTAGATGTATTAAAAACCACTAAATTATACACTTGAAATGAGTGAACTTTGTGGAATGCAAACTATACCTCAGTAAAAATGTTTCTTTTAAAAAATCTAGACATGGTAAATCTTATTCAAGGCTTTAAAAAAATAAAAGTATCTTTGGAACTTAGCTATTCTTAACTATCCAACTTTCAATCAATTCTTGAGTGTCTCCTATACATGAAATTACTTATGGTGTGCTAGTCGACACTGAAGATACAATGGTGAATTAAAAATATGGTCTAGGAAGCACTTACTACGTGATAGTTATTGCAGTGTTTTGTGTGGTTTATTTTATTTAATTCTCAGCACAGCAAGTGCTACCAGACCTATTTTACAGAAGTAGAAATGAACTTGCCCGAGGTCTCACAGTGAGTGCCAAGCCTAAGGGTTGAGCCCAGGTAGCCCGGCTCCACAGCAGGCATGCACTCTGCCCTGCGCTCTGCAGGAAAGCATGGTAACCCTTGTACCACCATGTTTTTTAAAAATGAAAACTGATGGAGATACATCAACATGTTTCTCAAGAGAATATGATTTCGAATTCATACATGGGATACATTTTGAGGAAAATAGATGCAGTTTAGACTAAAACATAATGTGTTCTAAATAATACCAACTACTAGTAGTATCTCTGGGAGATTAGGGTTAACAGACTTTAACTTTCTGCATAATATCTTTCAGGGTTTGAATGTTTTACAGTATTATCTTAAAAAAAAACTAAAATGTCTCATGAACACAATATATTTTTGGATCTGAGCTGCTCATTCATTCAAATGTATACATTTTACTAATTATATTTGTCAGCACCTGCTTTGAAGGATTTCCATCTGCAAAGGGTAACAGGTAGCCTGGTGTTCCTCTGACACACCCACACTTCAATTCTCTTCAGTAGCTACTAATTCCCACCCATCAAGTCACCTGACACTTGACAGCTGGCATCTTTAGCCTTGAAACAGAGGTATTTTTAAAAAGATTAGGTTTAGGTCCTGGCTGGTGTAGCTCAGTGGATTAAGTGCGGGCTGCGAACCAGGCATCGCAGGTTCGATTCCCAGTCAGGGCACATGCCTAGGTTGCAGGCCATGGCCCCCAGTAATTGCACATTGATGTATGCTTCTCTCTCTCTCTCTCTCTCCCCGCCCCTTCTCCCTCTAAAAATAAATAAAATTCTAAAGATTAGGTTCAGATAGATAGAAGTAATCCTATTAAAGCATACAAAATAAAGTATGGCCAAAGAAATAATTCAAAAGAACAAACATGCCACTGAAATCCATCATAAAATGCACTTTAGTAAAAAAAAAAATACACATTGGGGGTAGGCTGGGATGGGGCTCATCTTTTACCTCTTTTCCTCTCTGCTGTTCACTGTTACAAAGGAATGTTCCGAATAAACAGCTGTATAGGTGGTCCAAAATGGTAATGAGAAAATATTCATTGAATTCAAATGCTGTAGGAAACTGCAAATCAAATACCACAAACACAAAACTTAGTATTTTAAGACATTTTTTTCAAGCATAATTATCCCTGTATATGGGTAGATCCTTTCTAATACTTCTTAAAATTAGGCTAAATAATATTCAAAACTACAGGGTCCAGCAGAAGTAATGTCTGCTTCAGTGTGGTTGGCAGGGTGATACAACAGGTGTAATAATTTATAGTTTAATTCAAACATTTCACCTAAAATGTCATATGGTGTGCTTCAGTGTGATACTGTTATGTTACAGTATTACATGCTTATGATTTTAAATAAAAGACTCTATAATAAAAACAGGTATTATTTGTGCCAGACCCTGTATAATTTCTAAGCCATTATGGCATTATCTGTTTGGTTTTTGGTTCAAATAATCACTTTACCACTTTTCTAAGATAATTTCTCCCAAATCTCCTTTTCATATGCAGCAAGAATTTAAATGTTCTGACCTTGATGCTTCTATATCCCCACATCTGTTAACCCTAAGCTGGCAGGCTGATGAATTTTGACCTGGGCAATTCTGACAACTTTAACCTTTTTCTTCTAAAAATGACGATAAGCAACATATTAAGATTTTTTTTTAAGTTTTCAAAAATATTGTTTTGTTTTTAGGAATTACACAGAAAGTAGCATCAATGTCTCCAGAAAATGTCAGCAATGCATAAAAATAACTATCCAAGGCAGACATGCAGATCAATAAAACCCAATCTGCTTATCCTTTTAAGGAGCACCTTGTAATCCAGTACTTGGGCAGCCTCTTTCTAACAAAAAAGAAAATTCACTTTCTCTTTAACTTCAGGACAAGGGCTTACTGGTATCTTAATATTACACAAACAACACAATTTGTGGGGAACCTGTCAAGGACAAAATACAGATCCCAGGAAGGTAAAGGCTTCAGTTTTATCCACCAATGTAATGTCAATGTAATATTTCAAGATTATTCCAAAGTTTCTATGTAAGAGTGGACAAATTATGTGACCCGTGAAGAGGAATTCCATGATTCCTCTTGGATTGCAGATTTGGGAAATAAATATTTATTCCAAGTTTTTCTCTGAATGATCCTTACCCAAAAGTGAAGGAAAATTGCGTGAACTATAAGCAAAAGGGGTAGGAAGCCGTGAGCAGGGTAATGCGGCACATTTCTCAGACGACGAAGGGTAACTGCCATGCAGTGGCTATGCAGCTGAATGAAGCAGGTAATCAAGCACATGCAACAAAAAGCCAATTATCTGTAAGAAACTCTGTCAAATCCCATTTATTTATAAAATAAGTCCCATCTCCAGTACTATTACATACTCTTAACAGCCTTATTGCATTAGACAGCTACAGATGCACTGACTCATTAAACAGCAATCTGAAAGAGCTGAGCCTGTGGTTAGTTTTCATCTTCTTGGCAAGACTATTAGCTCAGCTTCATCAGTGGACATTTCCTCACAAACAAAACAAGAAACCCCAAAACAAAAAAAATAAAACCTAGAATAGCAGAGCATTAACTGCTGGTATTGCTTTTGAAGAGTAATATTTTGTTTCCCTTATTTGTAAAACTGAAGACTGCTAATAAACACTGTGACCACCAAACATTTCAGTTCAGGAGGAAAACACACACAAAAACATAACTAGATGCCCAAAATACTCATCACTACATTTTAAGTTCTACCTAAGAAACACAGGATTAAATTGATTTTCTAACTGTTAGTAACTTAAGCTGAGAATTGAAGTTTAACTGCTTTTACAACAGATATATAGCATATAGAAAGTTAACAGAATTGCTAAGGGAAAATGTACTTGTCATGTACTCTCCTATTCAAACTGGTAACTGTGATTAATTCTTTTTCTAGCAAACATATCAGAACTAATATCTCTCTGTACGTTGCCCCTTCATGGTAGTCCCTGGACAGCAGTCCATATAACCATCAATGACACCACAGTTTCAAACAACTTTCCCAGTCCTCAGATATGGCACATGTGATTTTTGCTAATAGTCAAATGTTATTTTTAAATGTTATTTAAAAATTGAATATGGTAGCAGTCAGAACTGGATCCTACTGTTTTTAGTCAAACACCCAAAAAAAGATGTGTAAGGGTTTGTATAGGTGATACACTACCTCAAAGGCAATTCCAAAGAAAAAATTCAAACCTACTCCAAGAAGTAGTAAAACTATTAAAATAAATATGTAGCATCTCCCCTCCCCACAACATACAAGGTCTAATGTATAGAGGAAAACTGGGTTGTATACACATTTGTAGTATATGTGTGAAAACACCAGCCTCAAAATACTATAGTCAGCTACAATACAATTTAACCTGGCAGGTTTCAAACCAATCCAACCAAACTGAAAATCTTAATGGGGGTAAAAGATGAACTATTTAATATACTGTACAACTGATGTATTGGTCCTAAGGATTGCCACCTCCTTTTAATGAAATAAATAGTATTTTCTTGAAGCTCAAATGTGATCCTAAAGTGAAGCGGAGCCAGCGCTGGCTGGCCTCATATCCATGGGGCACCGTAACGAAAACCAGGTCTAACACACCCTGCGGTGAAGCGCCAACTCACATACCAATATGCTGGATCCAGCTTTGGGGTTCTGATGTGATTTTTCTTGAATAGAGTTAAATATTTTTAAGACACCAAACCCTTGCCTCATCAGTGGGGTGATCCCATAATAAACGAGGTATTTTTTCAGTCTCCTCTGGTATCTTTCCAAAAAAACCTAAATCCATTTACAGTAAATTTCACATGTGTTTGTCAGAAAGTTGGTAGGTCTAAAAAACAATCTCTGCATACCTAAGGAAAAAAAGAACTGAATCTATTATATACCTACCTTGACATAATTTACCGCCTAACCCATTTTTTCTCATTAAAATTACTTGCCTATTTTTTCATCTCTTTACCTGTTTAGCAATATATAGATGAGCTTCTGGGTGAAGATATGGCCATTATTTAACACTACTTGTCTAAAACAGAGGCAGAGGGGAGAGGTGGATATAAGGGGACTGAATGGTAATATAAGAGAAAATATGGTAAAGATTAAAATAAATAAAACAAAAGAGGAATCCTCTTGGGTTATTATCAGTGCCACTCATTGAAATGCTAATAAAACCACAGTGTCAAGTGTGTAATACTACTCTCAAATAATATTCTTTAGCCTAATTCACAATGTGGTAATTAGGTAAAAGCTCTATTACCTAGAATTTCCATTTTACGTGAAATGTAGGATAATCAGTGACCCAATCTCCCAACTCTGACTGGACAGCTGAAAAAAGAGAAGTAGGAATGGATATATAGAGATGTTACCTGTCTCGTCATTTGCCAGACAGAGTCAATGAACTGAAGGAAAACCGGCGATCTGTCTGCATCTGCGTGATTCTTGTCTCCATGGCCGAGTCTCTGAATGAAAGACAGTGAAACAGTATCTGAACCTTGTGGGATTTTTCATTTTTTTAATAGACATTATTTCCCAATAAAAGTACTATTTCCTCAATATTTTTAAAAATTCAGAAAATCTTTTTAAAAGAAAAGAGCAATAACCTGTCACCCTACCTGTGAAATGTCTATTAACATTTTGATGTACAAACGCCAGATTATTGTTTTACATGAGATGCTTGTAACTGGAATTACAACTTGGTGTAATAAGTGAAACCCAGAAGGTAAAAAGCTGATTATGGAGACAGGAACAGTGACACCTCAGAGCCCAGATTTTTGTTCTGGAGATCTACTTTTCCCCTGAATGTTAGGTTACTTGGGCAACAGCCTCAGAAAGCACCCTTCTCCTTTAACATCTTGGCCAGTGCATGAAGGGGACCTGTTGTATCGTACAGCTCCAGTCTGTCTTTATCAAGAAGCATCACATTAGCACAAATCTTCATACCCCTTTAAAAAATGTTTGACTTCTGCCCTCCAAGCATGCACTCACCCAGTTTCTCCATTCTTTTTCTTCTCTGAGAACCTTTGCCACAGATGACTGAAACAGACCCCTACTTCGTACCCTGAAGCCACTGATTCTAAAAGTATGGACCACAGACTTCTCTGGGGGGGGCAGTGTGGGGTGGGGGTGGGAAGAATATGAGGTAGAAACTAATTTCATAATAGTAAAACATTACTTGCTTTTTTCAATTTATTGACGTTTGCACTAATGGTGCAAAAGTGATGAAGGATAAAACTTTTGGTACCTTACCACACTGTGGTTGGATTCTTCCTTGCCACACACTCACAGTTAAATGAAAGGGACAAAGCCAATCACTCTCAAGCCAGTTTCCTTGATGAAGTGGTAAAAATTATTAACTTTATTAAATCTCTCCTATTGAATACAATTTTTTAAATAGTTTGTGTAACAAAATGGGAAACACAGAGAATGTGCTTCTGCTGCAAACTTAAGTAGGATGGTAGGAAATGACACTTTTTCATGGAACATGATTTTGACTTGAAAGAAACAACTGATAAGTGAACTATGGCTATTAAGACTTGCGTATCTTACAGACTTTCTAGAAATGTACAAAGTGACTATGCCACTTCAAGGAAAACAATGGATGATATTTATTACCAATGATAAAATTCAAGCTTTTGAGTAAAAATTAATTTTTGGAAAACTTTTATCTGGAAAACATGAGCTTGATAATACTTAGACTTTTCTGATAAAATCAGTGGTGGTATTAAAAACTGTGGTTTTATGGTATAACATAAAGAAATGCATTAATAATGGAAGAGGTATACAGCTAGACAAAGAAGTATTTTTCAAGTAACTAACACACAATGTTACAAAATCACGTGTGGGTAGAAGATCTATTCAAAGTGCAAGACAGACCAATGGGACTTAATGGAACAAACAACAAAAAACTTCTTTGATTTAGTTCTGGATTCCACATTACACTTAACCTCCAAGACACTACGACCATTTGTCAAGTTTTGGCATAATAACAAAGTAGTACACCAATGATTCCTTTAAAAAGCTACTAAAATACTCTTTACTTTTCAAACTACATATCTGTGTGTGGTCAGATTTTTTCCTCATATACTTCAACCAGCAGGGGATATTGCAACAGACTGAACACAGAAGATACGAAATTTAGCTGTTTTCTATTAAGCCAGACATTAAAAAAATTTGCCCTCCGGAACATAGAACACCACTCTTCTCATGAAACCCTTTTTTATTTTAAAAACATTTTTCTTTAAAATGTTATGTTCATTTTTAATAGTACTATACTCTGAATGTTTGTGTTCTCCTGAAATCCGTGTGTTGGAACTAATGTGACGGTATCAGGAACAGGAGTCTTTGGGGCAACCCTCACAGGTGGGGTTAGTGCTCACATCTAAGAGACCCCTCAGAGCTCCCCAGCCTCCTCCCTCCATGTGAGGGCACAGTGAGAAGAGGGTCTTCACCAGAACCTGACTATGCTGACACCCTAATTTTGGGCTTTCAGCCTTCAAAACTGTGAGAAATAAATGGTTGTTGTTTATAAGGCACTCAGTCTATGGTATTGTTATAGCAGCCCAAATGGACTAAGATAAATAGATTACTTCTTTAATAAATATTTAAATTTTTAAAATACAATTTCTGATGTGGTAAATACAGATCATTACCCTCTATTAACCATGTGTGAACACACCATCTTGACCAGGTGCCCTTAATTTGTCAAACTCTGCTTTCATATAACAACTAGGGGAAAAACTGCGTCGGTAACCAGAGTTAACAATTTAGGATTCCATGGCGATTTCAAACAGTTTAAAATGTTTATGATTTTGGTCACATTTATATGAATATGTGCAGCTTTTGGCTAACTAAAACTTTATCCTTTGAAGCAAAAGTCTTTTTGTTTTTTCTTAAATGGTCTTCTCATGATAAATACATTTTACAGAGAATTGAAAAACATGAACCATCTGAATTGATACTCCAGATGTCCAACTTTATTTAACAATTCAAGTTCAGAAGAGCAGACGACCTTTAAGTGTCGGTTTCTCTCAGGTCATTTATAAACACTGCTCACTTACCCTCATAACTATTGGATACTGAAGGTAACCATCAGAGACAGCATATGGGCGAACATCTTTCAGAAAGTCTCTCAGCTAATCCAGGAAAATGCTGCCACAAACCACCCACGAACCATACTCTCAGTGGTCTCAAGGCCTCTGACACTCCAACTCCCTCCCCTCTCCAAGATTCTCTAACCCTCACCCTCCCTCCTCTCTACTCTGGCCATGCTCAACCCCATCTAGACATTTGCTCCCCCTGCTCTTCTTTCCTAGGAAAGTATTACTATTCTGTACTTTCCCAATTCTGTGATTACAACTAATAGACAGGCAATACATAACCACCGTTTTCTGATCCCAAATTTAGTGCTTACAAGAAACAGCTAAAATGTACTTGAATGTGTATTTAATCGAAAGCTACATGAATCCAAAGTGTGAGGTAACAAGAATGCAAATGTAAAATTGTATTTTAAAATACAATTTCTGATGTGGTAAATACAGATCATTACCCTCTATTAACCATGTGTGAACACACCATCTTGACCAGATTCCCTTCATTTGTCAAAGGAAGCATAGCATCCTTTGAAAGAGACATACCCCATTCCTCTATTTTAGGACCTGTGGCTAGTTCTAGCCACCCCACCTGTGGAAAAGCCAGGACCGAAGTCCAGAGGACAACTGGGATGGCAAGGAACTTCAGCTAAGACAGAAGAAATGGATGGCCAGTCTGAAGAACTGAGGACTATCAAGGACACGAGCTGACGGCTACTTTCTAATATGTGAAGGGCTATTTTATATGGATAAGTAGTTACATTTGTTCTTCTTGTCTCCAAAGAGGAATGTAAAAACATGGGAAACAAATTTTAGTTCACTATGAGGAAGAAGTTTCTGACTGGTAGACTTTCTGAAGGGAGACCTATAGCCTCAGGAAGAGATTTGTTGCGTATTTCTAGAGGTATGAATGAAGAAACTGAACAATCATTTTGAGGGCACCATTGAAGATTCAACAATTGTTGCTGGACTCTGACTTCCTTCTAACTCTTACCTTTGTTACCAACAATAACATCAACAAAAATTTTGAGACATGTGGAGGACACAAAAATTTGTCATTTCCATAAAACTAACTGCAACACTTTTCATACATGTGATCATTACAGCGTTAATATCTTAAGAAAAATAATAGAAAAGTTGTTTTATTCCAAACTCTGAGTTACATTTTATTTATTTTTCTCTTAGTCCCAGATTTGTTTTTAGACTCTTATCCTGTGTGAGCAACACTACTTTGTAGGGCTGCTTTAAACTGAGAATAATTAAACCATTCTCATCTTTTCAGTCTATTTTGTTAAACTTTTTAAAAAAGGTTTTATTTATTTATTTTTAGATAGGAGAAGGAAGGAAGAAAGAGGGAGAGAAGCATCAATGTGTGGTTGCCTCTTATGCGCCCCTCACTGGGACCTGCCCAGGCATGGGCCCTAACTGGTAATTGAACCCGTGACCCTTTGGTTGGCAGACTAGCACTCAATCCACTGAGCTGCACCAGCCAGGGGTATTTTGTTAACCTTTTAAAACATTTTGTTGCTGTTGTTGTTGTTCAGTTACAGTTGTCCTGCCTTTTTCCCCTTTGCTCTCCCCTATCCCATCCCCACCCCCACAGTAAAGGAAAAGTTAGAAGTGCCTTGTTATTCCATTACCATTCATGCTAATCTGAACTGTTAATTGAAGGTGGAGAGAAGACACCCCTGGAAATCATGGAATGATATTGAATGTTTCCTGGTAAAGATCACAGAAGAGACTGGGTCAGCCAGAAAAGACACGATAGGATGTCCTAATGCATTCCAAAGCAAAAACGTTCTCCTGAGAAATTTAACCCTCTAGAATAAACAATTTTAGATGAATATCTAATGAATAAAAAGCATTATTTTCACAAGTCTGATGTGAGAGGAATGTAACACATCAAGCCAAGGTTCTTTACTCACAAGCTGAAATCGATGTCCAAAGCTCAGCCATTCTTTTTCCACAAGGACTTCAAATCCTCGGATGGTTCGATAGTGTCCATCCAGCATGAGCATGGCGAGCGACGTCAGCTGCGCCGTGCGGTCCCAACCATCACTGCAATGCACCACCACAGATGTCTTTCCCGACTCTACTTTGTCCGCAATCCTGAGAGCCCCAGCAAGAATAAGCTGCAAAGCAGATTTTTTAAAGAATGAAAACGTTAAAAAATTAAATGCTTCCTTCTTCAAAATGTATTAATAGACTTTTGCTAGGGATAACTGTGTCAATAACACATGGAAAAGATTGGTCCCTTCCTAAAAAAATATTTTTAAATAGTAGAAGATACACAATTTTGCTTCTAAAGCTAGAAAAATCTCATAAATGCAAACTCCTAAAAACCTGCACAATGAAATATCCAAGTGAAAGGCATCTCTCAGATGTAAACAAATCAACAGTATGAGAAAGAGAAACAAAGATCTAGGTTCTAAAAGGATCTTCAAATATTCAAAATACCATCCATTTAAAGAAAAATATCCCAACTCAAGTCTTAGCTGTTATTTATAACAATGCTTGCTTAACCAAATTAGAATATGCATGAAACCAATAAAACTGATCTGTTTTAAAATATTCTATAACTTCCACAGCATTTATTTTACTGTTTTTGTATATGTCACATAGCATACAGAAAGTACAACTTTACACAGAAATAAAACTTTAGAGTAAGCTACTTTTCTGTATTAGTATGAATAAAAAATTCTCATCATATCAATAAATCATGTTAGATGCCACATCAATTTAACTGGTATCTAAAATAATTTTAATTATTTTTTAAATATGCAGAATCTTTGTAAAATCACTTACTTCTTCTGAAGTTGATCCTGAGTTAAAACTAGATAGAATTAGATGTAACCAAAAAAGAAGCACAAAGTGTCATCTCCTTTAAAAAGGACAATCTAGCACTATTCCTCTCTTCTGTGACCAGACCACACTTACAAACCAGCATGGCTCCACAAACACAGATCGGAATGAAAGAACACAGGTTTACTAGCTAGGTGAGGGACTCTCATGAGAGTCTCCTATTGATCATAACTGTAGGCATATTCTGGAAATGGGGTACTGTGAAGCGATCTCAATCTTGACTATGTCTGAGTCATCTGGGAGCATATTTTTCCTCCTAAACTGCTTAGGCTCCAATCTCCACCAATCCTAACTCATGATTTTAAATAACTTCCACCAGTAATTCAAATGCATATGCAGACCTACAAATCACTGACCCAAAGGATTAGAACAGTTGGAATTAAGGCTGACCAGGAAGATCCTAAGCCATCAAGTGGTCATTTCAATTCATGTACTCATTTATAAAATAAACATTTATGGAGTCCCTTACTATGTTGCAGGCATGGCTCTAGGTGCTGGAGGCATAGCAGTCAACAGAACAGAACAAAGTGTTGGCTTGAAGTGTTGGGAACCGCCCTGACTGGTATCAGAAGCAGAAACCCCCGCCTAGGCTAAGGCTAAGGGAACGCCCTTGGAACCGTAAGCTAGCAAGGAGACAAAAGCTTATCTCCTTGGCAGGAATGCTGCTTCTGCTGCTTTATTCATAACTGAACCCCAAAAAGCTTGGTCGGTTAGCCAAAGACGGGTAAGATTCCCCAAGGGAGGAACGACCTAAGACAGGCACGATCACTTGGGAGGCCCCCCCAAAAGAAGGACTTTGGGGGCTGCAGCAAAAGGGGGTGATGGACCCTCGCTCCTCGGCTTTGACATAGCCTGAGTTCTCCTCGTCTGGGAGAAAATCTCCTTATCTCTTGGTTGCCTTAGTTCCCTTGCTCCACCTAGGCCTGAAACAATGACAGGGTGGTGCAGCTCTGTGCTGAAAAGGGTGGATTCCCCGGGTGATCAGGCCTAAGAAAGAACATGTAAATTACTGTGAAACCTTCTTTGTTTAGAATGCTCTCAGTTGAATGAGAGGGGTCCAAGGAGGAAGTTAATTTGTTCCTCAAAGTCTTACAGCTCTTTGACCCTGACTCAAAATAGACCCCTCAGACTTCCTTGTTTTCTATGGTTCCTTACTTGCTCGTAATGAGTACTGTACTTTACCTGAATTATTATGCAAAACGAGCCCAATAAAAGCAGGTTTGGACGGTATATCGGCGCGCTCCCCACTAGAGGGGGTGGCCATTCTGTCCCTACTTCTCCACAGAAACTAGTCTGTCTCTGTGCATGTTTTTTCTCGCGTGTTTTTGGCGAGCCATCCGCAGCGTTCTGTGATCACTGCTGGCCGGTGACCCACGCATCATTGGAGTTTACATTCTGGCTGGAGAGGCCAGCCAGATGCAAACAAATAAGGAAATGTGTAACGTGTCAGAGAGCAGTACGTGAGAAAGCACCATATGGTTGGTTCTAGGGGCTTCCAGGAGGACTGCTATTTTGTATCAACTGGTTGGGAAAGGCCCCTCGGGGAAGGTGATATTCGAGAAAGGATCTGAAGAAAGTGAGCAGGTAAGCCTTGCAGGTGTGAGGACTGGTGGAGAAGAGCCCAGGCACAACCGTGCCTCTTGTACCTCTACAGAAACGCATTTCTGGTCCAGCAAGCTTTTTGGAGAGGATGTTGTACCTGCTAGTAAAGTGTCCTGGAATCTAATTTGTGTTAGTTTCAAATGAAGTCTTATGGATTTCTATTTACACATTATGTAAGAAACAGGCCACCCGCACATACTCTGAGGAGTGTTGATACTTTGCTACATTCAAGTTTCTAAGCTTCCAGAAGAGAAAAAATAATAAAAATAGTCTATAATTCTCATTAGATCAAATTGGCCTTCTCTTCAATTTCTCTGAATTTTAGAGATTTTGATGTGAGTGTAAGTGTGCTCCCTCTTAATAGGAAAACCCTCATTTCCCTTTATTTCATAACGTTAATATATGAAGTTATAGAAGTCTTTACTTTGGTAAGCTATGTTACTGAAATTCAGACCATATCTGAAAAAATATATAGAACTATGTTAAATAAAATAACATTTGGCTCTTCAAACGCTATGAACAGGTTAGGCAAATCAGTGCTCACTGTAGTCCCCAACTCAGTTAGTATTCAAATGAGTTTAGCAGTGTTCACACAGGTAGTCCTCGTATCTTTCATTCAACCACTTCACTGCATTTCCCTGGCCAGAATGATTTTCACTTCACAAGTCATGCAACAACTATTTATTGGGTGCCTATTATTCACACAGATAGTGCTTCCCTAGTTCCTGAGGAAGAGAAAAAAAATATGACTATGATTTATTCAGCCCTGATCTCCACTGAATTAACAATATATGTTGCTTGACACCAAAGTAATTAAATGAAGTGCAAGGTAGTACCTGATTACATGGAAAGAAAAAGTGAAAACTTCAGAGGAAATGGAAATGGGTGGAAGCTGGTAAGACTTCATGAATAAATGAAATATGAACTGGGACCTGAAGGATGGGTAGCATTTGGACAGGATGGGAAAGAAAGTGAAAGAAGTCCAATAGAACCCCACACACAGGACAGGAAAACCATTCATTCTAGCATCAAACCCAAGAAGTAGTTCTAATGATCAAAGCAGGTATCAATTCTTCACTGTTTAGAAAGGTACATTCATCTTGATTTCAATCATAAAAGCCAATATAGACAAAGGGCAGAGAAAGACCTTGTTTGATATTCTTTCTATAACAGTATGATGAAATAACCCACCTTAATATGTTCTAGCCAGTGAGTAGATTCCAAGTTTGATAGCCAGTGGGTCTCCTCAATGTTGGGGTACACAATCTCCTTAAGTTTTCGTAATGATTCTCTCATAACATGAATATTGTGGATATCCAGAAAAACTAGTTCTGCATTTTGATAGGCATCTTCACTTTCATAACCTCCACCTTTTGCCTGGGGAAAAACACACACCCCACAGGAAATCTAAAATGAATGCACATCCATTATATGCTGACATCCATGAAGAAGTGCCCTAAAATATCCAAGAGCATGAAAGATGATATATGTTACTGATGAACAGGAAACTCTGTGGGAAAATATGGATAGCGCAGAGCAATTTAACAAAACTACTCTCTACCACATGTTTTCTTTATAGACCAGGAATATACATTCTCACCCTTTTTTATGTGGCTATCATAAAAATTAAATGTGATAATATAGGTGAAGGTACTTAAACATTTTAAAGCACTAAATTTCCCCACCCATATTTCAAAACCTGCCCCAAAATTTCTTACAGAAGACTGAAATCACCAGACTAGTAAGTTCCATGAGCAGGAACAACATCTGTCTAGTTTACCACTAGCCCATGCTGCTTCACCTCATTTTAATGTTTTTTTAAAAAAATTATTTCAGCAAAGAGGGAAAGGGTTGGAGATAGAGAGGGAGACAAACGTTGCTGTGAGAGGGAAACACTGACTGGCTGCCTGCCATACACTCACAGACTGGGCACCACACCTGCAACCCAGGCATGTGCCTTCACCAGGAATCAAACCAGTGACCTTTCAATTTGCAGCACACCAGCTGGGGTGATCTTAATATTTACAAAATACTTTGCAATCATAAAGACTTGCTTTTATTTCAACCATATTATTTTTGCTAAATATATTTTATTGATTATACTATTACACTTGTCCCATATTTTTTTCCTCCCTTTTATTTCCCTCCACTCTGCACCACCCCTTGCACCCACATCCCCTACTCTTAGTTCATGTTCATGGGTCATACATATCAGTTCCTTGGCTTCTCCATTTCCCATACTATTCTTAAGCTCCCCCTGTCTACTTTATTCCTACCAATTATGCTTCTTATTCCCTGTACCTTTTCCCCTATTACACCCTCCACACTGATAACCCTCCCTGTGATCTCCGTTTCTGTGATTCTGTTCCTGTTCCAGTTGCTTGCTTAGTTTGTTTTTGTTTTCTTTTAGGTTAGTTGCTGATAGCTGTGAGTTTGTTGTCATTTTACTGTTCATAGTTTTGATCTTCTTCTTTTTCTTAGATAAGTCCCTTTAACATTTCATATAATAAGGGGTTGGTAATGATGAACTCCTTTAACCTGATCTTATCTCAGAAGCACTTTATCTGCCCTTCCATTCTAAATGAAAACTTTGCTGGATAGAGTAATCTTGGATGTAGGTCCTTGCCTTTCATGACTTAGAATACTTCTTTCCAGCCCCTTTTTTCCTATAAGGTCTCTTTTGAGAAGTCAGCTGATAGTCTTATGGGTACTCCTTTGTAGGTAACTGTCTTCTTTCCTCTCCCTGCTTTTAAAATTCTTTCCTTACCTTTGATCTTGGGTAATGTCATTATGATGTGCCTTGGTGTGTGCTTCCTTGGGTCCAACTTCTTTGGGACTCTCTGAGCTTCCTGGACTTCCTGCAAGTCTATTTCCTTTGCCAGATTAGGGAAGTTCTCCATTATTTTTTGAAATAAGTTTTCCACTTCTTGGTCTTCCTCTTCTCCTTCTGACACTCCTATGATTCAGATGTTAGAGCGTTTAAAGTTGTCTCAAAGGTCCTAAGCCTCTCCTCATTTTTTTGAATTCTTCTTTCTTCATTCTGTTCTGGTTGAATATTTATTTCTTTGTTCTGCTCCAAATCACTGATTTGAGTCCCAGTTTCCTTCTCTTCACTGCTGGTTCCCTATATATTTTTATTCATTTCACTTTGCATAGCCTGCACTTTTTCCTCCATTTTTTTTTTACCATACTCAACCATTTCTGTGAGCATCCTGATTACCAGTGTCTTGAACTTTGCATCTGATAGGTTGGCTATCTCTTCATCACTTAGTTATATTTTTTATGTAGCTTTGATGTGTTCTTTCATTTGGGCCGTATTTTTTTTGTCTTGGTGCAGCTATTACATTTTAAGGGGTGGAGCCTTAGGTATTCACCAGGGTGGGGCAACCTTCTTTGCTGCGTTGTGGTGCTGTCTGTGGGGAGGGGTCTGAGAGGGAACAATGCTGCCTGCTCTACTCTCAGTCAGCTTTCAGTCATTTTCCCCAATATCCACAAACAAATTGGGCCCTTCTGTAGTTGATTCCCAGGTAGGTGGGTTTATGTACATTCTAGGGCCCTATGGGTCTCTCCATCAAACTCTCCTGTGAGGTTGGGAGTTTCTCCTGCCGCCTCAACCCTCACAGATTTTTACAGCTGAAGGTTTTTGAGGCTTTATGTCCCTGCATTGGAACCCGGGGTTGCATGGTCTGTCTCACTCCCCAGGAGTTCTTCCCTGTTATCTGTACTCAAATGTGGGACCACCCCATCCATCAGCTTCCACCTTGCTGCCCATTCTCTCCAGCCCATTTCTACCCCTCCTACCAGTATGAATGAATGTTTCTTCTTTAACTCCTTAGTTGTAAGACTTCCATACAGTTCAATTTTCTGGCAGTTCTGGTTATTTTTTGTTTTTAAATTTGTTGTCCTTTGGTTGTTCAATGCATCCATGAAAGGCAAGGGCCTACATCCAAGATTACTCTATCCAGCAAAGCTCTCAGTTAGAATAGAAGGGCAGATAGAGTGCTTCCCAGATAAGGTCAAGTTAAAGGAGTTCATCATCACCAAGCCCTTATTATATGAAATGTTAAAAGGACTTATCTAAGAAAAAGAAGATCAAAACCATAAACAGTAAAATGACAACAAACAACTATCAACAACCAAACCTAAACACACACACACACACACACACACACACACACACAAACTAAGCAAACAACTGGAACAGGAATGGAATCAGAGAAATGGAGACCACACGGAGGGTTATCAGTGGGGAGGAGGAGGGGGGTTAATGGGGGAAAAAGAACAGGGGATAAGAAGCATAACTGGTAGGTACAGAATAGATAGGAGGTGGTTAAGAACAGTATAGGAAATGGTCTCCAAGGAACTGATATGTACAGCCCATGGACATGAACTAAGGTGGGGAGGGATGCTGGTAGGAGGGATGGTATAGGGCAGAGGGGAATAAAGGGGAGAGAAAATGGGACAACTGTAATAGCACAATCAATAAAACATACTTAAAAAAAAGAAAGAAAATGAACCCATGATTCTCTAGCCTCATGTTATGAATTAGAAATATAGTGTGAGCCAAAGGTGCAATTTTAAATTTCCTCATAGCCACATTTAAAAAGTTGAAAAGAAATAGGCATAATTCATATTATTATATTTTATGTAACTCAGTATATCCAAAATATTATTTCAACATGTAATCAGTATTTGAAAAATTATTAATAAAATTTTTTACATTCTTTATACCACATCTTCAAAATGCAGTGTGTATTTTATACATACACGTATCCCCATTCAGACACTAAGTTTTCACTGGAAATAACTGATCTGTAGTTAGATTTAATAAAATTTATAGTTGAAAAGATATATCCACTAGTTATTGAATACTTAAAAGTTTTTCAATAACTGAATCAAGTATCAGTTTTCAATTTGAATTTAAATAAAAAAAATAAAGATTCATGAGCCACATTTTAAGTTTTAAAGAGGTACATGTGGATAGTGGCTACCATACTGGACAGAGCAGATCTAAGCTGTAAGCATCACATAGTCAGGGACTTAGCTGTCTTATTCACCCAAGAGACAGCATAAAATATAAGTGCTCAATAAATATTTGGGGAATGGAGGGAAGAAGGAGACAGATTTAAACCAACCTATTATAACTTTGCTTGCCATTCTTCCTTTTATTATAGTCAACTCATTTGGTATGCTAAAAAAGAAAAAGAGCCCTGGTTGTTGTGGCTAAGTGGACTGAGAGCCAGCCTGCAATGCAAGGGGTTGCTAGTTTGATTCCCTGTCAGGGCACATGCCTGAGTTGCAGACCATGTCCTTGGTAGGGGGTGCACAAGAGGCAACCACACATTGATGTTTCTCTCTGTCTCTTTCTCCCTCCCTTCCCCTCTAAAAATAAATAAATAAAAAATCTTAAAAAGAAAAAAAAGTAAAAGCCCTGGCTGATGTGGCTCAGAAAAAAAAATACATGCATTCATAATGGCATTTAAAAATAATAATCTTCTTCATGGGATGATAGGAAATAAATTCATTATTGGAAAACTGGTCACTAAGGAGAAAATCAAGCATTGATTCTAGCGTTCTTATACGAACTCAAGTGCTGGTTAACCAAAATACAGATAATAGAAAGTGTTTTCTTTTTAGAAAGATTTCAACTAGTAGTTGAAAAAAATCATGAAATTAGAATATCAACATTTTGCAATCCCAGTGAATTAATGTATTTAGGCACTGAACATCAACAGCTGGTCACATCCCAAAAGGAGAATCAGCCATAAATAGTATGCCTCATGACACATCCCCTATAGCCTTTCCAAAAATATTGAATCTGAATCTCAATAAACCTCTGAATTTGTGTGAAGGAAATTCAAGACAGAAAAAAGTTGCCATAGGGGAATTAGCAAAATCTAGACTATGGGAAACTATATACATAAAATACAAAGAAAAGAAAGAGGCAAGAGGAAGACTATAGATTAAGAAAAACTTAAAAGACACATCAAACAAAATAAGGCAAGGCTAAACTGTAGTGTCTAGGGATATATCCTTTGGTAATAAAAGTATAAAGAAATGCAAAATGTCCTGGCAGGTGTGCCTCAGTAGAATGTGTGTCGTCATTCAAAAGGTCATGCCGGTCTGATTCCTGGTCAGGGCATACGCCTGGGTTGTGGGCCAGGTCCCTGGTTAAGGGTGTGCAAGAGGCAACTGATTAATGTTTCTCTCACACATCAATGTTTCTCTCTTTCTCTTTCTTCTTCCCCACTCCTCTCTCTAAAAATAAATGAATACAATCTTAAAAAAAAAAATGCAAGATGACTGCTAAAGAAGTTAGAAAAATGGTTACCTTTAGCAGGGATAGAAGGCAAATTTGACTGGGGTGGAGTATACATGGAACACAGTGCCTAGCAAGGTTTTAATTCTTGCCCTGGGCCATGGTTGCAAGATCATCTGTCATATTCATACCAATTAAGCTATAAAACTTTTCTTACTATGCAGAAAAAAAATATTTGTTACAACAAGGATATATAATTTTGCAAATTAAAAAAGGGGGATAGGTGGGGAAATTGGGTGAAGGTGGTCAGATAGTACAAACTTATGATTATAAGATGAATAAATTTTAGAAATCTAATGTATAGCATGGTGACTGTAATATTTCACTATATATTTGAAAGTTCCTAAGAGAGTAGACCTTAAAAGTTCTCATCACAAGGAACAAAACTGTAACTATGTAAGGTGATGGATGTTAAACTGAAATTATTGTGGTAATCATTTCATAATGTGAGGTCTGGCTGAAAATGTCCAGCCATTGTTAATATAACAAAAATGGTTTGCTCAACATTCATGTAACTTGCATCCAAGGAGAGAGGACTGGAATGCACATGTGTGAACAATGACGACTTCACTGTACTAGTCAGTGGATGCCATTCAGTGAGCATGTGTACTCTGTGCATCACATTCAAAATGAGTAAGTAGAGCAACAAATCTGCATCAAATTTTGTGTTAAACTTGAACATTCCTCCATGGGAGCTATTCAGGAGATACAGAAGGCTGCAGCTATGGGCAACAGGTGGTTGCAGCCTCATCACAACAATATACCCGCTCATGCATCATGTCTTGTGCAGAGTTTTTGGGCAAAACATCAAATCACCCAGGTGACTCAGCCCCTCTACAGCTCAGATTTGGCGTCCTGCAACTTCTGGTTTTTCCCCAAACTAAAATCACCTTTGAAAGGCAAGAGATTTCAGACCATCGATGAGATTCAGGAAAATACAACAGGGCAGCTGATGGCAATTGGGAGAACTGTGTGAGGTCCCAAGGTGCCTACTTTGAAGGGGACTGAGGCATCATTGTCCTATGTACAATGTTTCTTGTATCTTATATCATCTTCAGTATATGTTTCTATTTTTCTTAGCATGTGGCTGGATATTTTCTGGACAGGTCTTGCATATACATATATCAAATCATTACATTGTGTTCCTTATATAATGTTAAGTGTCAACTATATCTCAATAAAACAGGGGAATGGTATTAGGTTAGTAAAATGACTCAACATTTCTGAAGAATATTTGCAATATGCAACAAAATTTTTAAAATAGGCATATTTTCAACTTTGCTATAGTAATTGTATATCTAGGAAACTATTTTAAGGAAATAATCAAAGATGTCAGCAATCCCTGGCTGGTGTGGCTCAGCTGGTTGAGCACTGTCCTGTAAACTAACAGATCTCAGGTTTAACTCCTGGTCAGGGCACATGCCTAGGCTGCAGGTTCATCCCGGTAAGGGCACATGCAAGAGGCAACTGGTCTATGTTTCTCTCTCACATCAGTGTTTCTCTCCTTTTCTCTCTTCCTTCTGTCCCCTCCAAAATCAATGGGCATGTCCCCAGGTGAGGATTAAAAATAAAGATGCCAACAAAAGTTTTTATTTCAGCTATATTTAAAATACTAAATACTTAAATGCCCAGTATTACAAGAATTAAATAAATGATATATAAATATGATGAGTACCATTGCTTTTTAAAAATATTTCATGAAAAGAAATGATTCTTATAATGCAATGGTAAGATAAAAGAAATAACCAATATGTAAATGCACAGAAACAAACAGTGGAGGAAAATGTATCAAAATATTAGTGATTGAGTAATTTTTATTTTCTTTCTATAGTTTTTCTATGGCTACCTAGTTGTTGTTGTTTTTAATATTTACTTATTTTTAGAGAGAGGGGAAGAGAGGGAGGAAGAGAGGGAGAGAAACATCAGTGTGTGGTTGCCTCTTGCATGCCCTCTACTGGGGACCTGGCCGGCAACCCAGGCATGTGCCCTGACTAGGAATCAAACCCGGGACCCTTTGGTTCACAGACTAGCGCTCAATCCACTGAGCCACATCAGCCAGAGGCCTAGTTTTTTTTATATATTCTATTCATATTTTGTAATCATATTTCAGCCTTTAAAAATAGAGGGGATTTATATAACGAAACATATGTGGAAATTTAAGATGAGTATAACAGTTTGTTCTACCACCTTCTCTGGCTTACATTCCTCTTTCCTTCCCTTATCCTAAAAAACATCCTAAATCTCATTCCTGCTAATTCATGGTATAAAGTTTAGGGAGGGAAACAAGTAATTACTGAAAAAATATGCCAGTCCCTGGGCTACAGGCTTCATATACACATTATCTCATCGCTCCCTTAACAAGGAACATTACAGTCTAATAGAGAATGCCCAGAACTCACAATACCCTTAAAACATTAAACAAAATGAAAAAATTACCGCATTTTGCCATGTATAATGCACACCCACATTTTTGTGTGCCTTATTCACAGGATTCTACTTGTACTCATGGTATGTAATCATTATACCCATGTATAATGTGCATCCTTATTTTGCCCTCAAAAATTTGGGTAAGAAAGTACACACCATACACAGCAAAATATGATAGGTACCCACTGTACAATTTAATTAAAAGTATGATCACTGCAGCATTGTAATATTAGCAAAAAAAAAAACCAAACAGAAATAAACTAAATGTCTAACAACAGTTGGCGATATTAGTTATTATACCCTTAAAATAATGTTATAGATGAATGTTTGTTGGCACAGAAAAACAGAGTGTCAATTTTTTAAGTTACAATTATCCCATTCTGTTTTAAATATATGAGTATATGCATATACACATAGGTCTGGAAGTATAACCATGATCTAATGATATTTTTCTCCTGGCTATAGGATTAAGGGTGTTTTGAAATATTTTCTTTTTGCTCACCTGCATAGGATAATTCTTTTTTTTTTTTAAGAGAGATTTTTTAAAGATTTTATTTATTTATTTTTAGAGAGGGAAGGAAGGGAGAAAAAAAGAGAGAGAAACATCAATGCGTGGTTGCTGGGGGCCGTGACCTGCAACCCAGGCATGTGCCCTAACTGGGAATCTTTCTCTTCGAGAAAGAACCTGCGACACTTTGGTTTGCAGCCCGTGCTCAATCCACTGAGCTATGCCAGCCAGGGTGGATAATTCTTTCATAATACATATACATTGCTTATTGGGGATTAAATAGAAGAGGTACTTCCTTAAAGCCAAGCTGTATTCTCTCACTGCCTTCTACGGTAAATTTTGTCAAGGGGATCAGAATTCCTATTTCCACAGTGCGAATACTTATTATGCAGCAGTAATCAGGACAACTGCTCCAGCTAACTGACTGCAAGTCTTCAGTCTGAATAACTTGTACAGGCGGAAGGCTGTCAGAAGAGGGCACCACTGGTCACTGAGAACACTGCTTCCCAATTACTACAGCAGTGCTGTGCAGACTTGCCTCGGTCATAAACTCGGTTGTCCAGTTAGGAGAAAGGAGAAAGAAAAAAAAATTCCTGAATACCTACCTTTATATGAGTATGGGGTTACACACTATTTTTTTTATTAGATGATTTTGTCTCTAACAATCCTGTTAGCTATTATAATTCTCATTTTACAAATGAGCAAATTAAGGTCTAAAAAGTTTAAATAATGAACTCAAAGTCATACCATCAGGTAGGAGGGCCAGAATGAAATCTACATTTTTATCACTGGAAAGCCTGAACTCTTTATACTACACTGTGGCTCCCACCAAACAGCTGATTCATGCAACTGTAATCTTAATTAATGAAAAATAATCTCACCTTGTTGGCAACAGCATTAACACTTGGCCGGGCATCAAATATAAAGATTTTATGAGACTGGGCATTGGAGTCCATGATGGCTTGAAGGTATTTTTCATCTTCTTTACTTCGCTTCCCACTCACTCCTACCATGGGCTGGCTGCATCGAGTGATTGTGGCTTGACTTTCTGGATGAATCCATGATAAAACCTAAACAGGGGGAAACGGAGACACACCCTTTATATAGTCCTCTGTTTATAATCCTTCTCAAAAACATTGCTGTATGAAATTCTGCTTTCTAACTTATTCCAAGGCCTAGCCATGAAAAGGTATATGAGGCTGCTATAAAACATCATCACCTTTCTTTCAAGCAACTCCTGGATGTAGAAAGCTTGGTCTAATTCTTTAATCAGATATCATTTTATGAAAGTCACTGACTATTGATAAGTGTTGTCTCTAGAAAACCTACATTAAAGGGGGACTAAATAAGCCCCACTTTTAAAGTTTTATTACTGTATCAGCAAAACTGTCCAACTATAAAGTCTTTAGAATCTATGAATTTAGTGCATAAACTTTGAGCTAATCTTTCTAGAACACAGTGATTCATCAAGATTTTGTAAAGATTTCTTCTTCCTAGAATTTAAAGGAAAAGAGAACTTATTGCCATGGCTAAAGAACTTGTAAAGAAATTGTTGATAACACATGGAACCAAGATTGTTTTCACATTAAGAATCACATGATTTCATGCACTTCTCTGATACCAAGGCAGACTCTCCAGACACTTCTTTAATCAAAGTCATTCCCCCAGTTTTAGTTTTATTAAATAACTCATTCTCTAATATCCCCATAAAAGGCCCACTGCTGTAGCTGTTTCTATCCTGTATCCATTCTCCCACTCGTTAATCTAAACAGCATTTACAAAGTCTCATCAAAGCTTCATACTCACTGGGATTCGGCCCCTTGATCTAAAGGATGCCACTCTCTTTAATTCTTCATCAGGAATATTTGCTGGCACAACCAAGAGGGCAGGGTATGTATCACAAAGGTCATATCGTTCATTTATCTTTGTTATTCTCCAGCTTTCATTTGGAATTCCCTATATGGGAAAAACATAAAGCAAATTACTACCTTACTAAAATATCACTGGACATCAGAAGAGAAGCTTATTCAGCCTCTCTCATTTCCACTCTCAAGCTCTTCAGTAGCTGCAACAGTTACGATCTGCCTATGGGGACCAGCCTACTAAAATAAGACATTCTAAGGTAGTGATATGTGTTTTTTGACATTCAGCTTTGTGTTAATAGATTCATTAAGTCATTAAATACTGACTGTGTGCTGGGTCTCTGTTAAGCATATCCAATGGGAAGGAAGAAAACAGTGAGATTGCAAATAATCCCTGCCTTAAAAAAGAAGAGGCTCATTCCGTTTCATTGGATTAATTTTGTTGCCATTCATCTATTCAAAGGAATTTAAGAGGGCAGGCACCAAGTGTCTACCACAATGCTGTATACATATTTATTACTTCCATATTAGAAAAACAAGGAAGTAACAGAAGCAAAACCAAAAAGACAAAAGAAATACTCAAAACATTAAAAAAATACATTGATTATTTAGCTCTCAATGGGTCCTTCAATATTTACTACATATATAACTAGGGCACTACTCTACATACAGGATTATCTTGACCCTTAAAGTTCTCCAGAAAATAAAGCCATTATATGAAATGGTTGGAATTATGTTTATATTTCTTTTTAAATTTTATGACCTCTGACAACTCATATCATCACAGACAAGAAACCAAATTATAGTGAAACATAAATTCACTGAGCACTAACTACGTGCAAGCACGATGGCAGCAGCCTTTTTACACACACACACAAAGGCATAGAGAGTGTGCACAGAATGCTATCATCTGCTTAAAGAAATAATATGCAGTCATTCACAAGCTTTGCAGGCATAAAATCTCTCGAGTGTTATATAGGTAACCAGTAACAATATTTCCTAAAGGGAGATGAACTGGGATGGCACAGGGATAAGGACAGCCTAGAAGGTAACCTACCTTTCAATATATACCCTTGTGTACTTTTTGAATTTTATGCAGAGTGCAAGTATTACCACTTTCAACTTCTTCAATTTTTTTTAAAAAAAGGAATACTCTGATGCTTTATCTCTAGTCTTAAGGTTTATGTTAAGAGACTGTCTTCATTTTCTTCCATAATATACATAAAATATATATATATATTTTATTTATATATATTTATTTATTTTTAGAAAGGGAAGGGAGGGAGAAAGAGAGAGAGAAACATCAATGTGTGGTTGCTGGGGGCTGTGGCCTGCAACCCAGGCATGTGCCCTGACTGGGAATCGAACCTGCGATACTTTGGTTCGCAGCCCGTACTCAATCCACTGAGCTACGCCAGCCAGGGCAAAGTATATATTTTTTAAAAAATCGAATCTTCTAACTACAAACACAGTGCCTTCTCCGCTAGACTTTGGCTTGGCTTATTCAGAAACAAGTCAAGTATCTAACTGCAGAAAAAAGTCAACGAATTAACGCAGAGTTCAATGCTCTCTTCTGACTGCCACATTTCCTAATATCATAATTATTTTTCTGTACGGGCATAGTTGTTCATTTACTTCTCCTTTTTAATAATAACATTATTATTGTGTCTCTGGATACAGTTGTTTCATCTGCTTTCTAAAGTTCTATGCTGAACGCTACTAGAACAGAACAGCAATTTCTGCCCAGATTTCCAAAGAATATTCCTTGTTCTTACAATTCTTAAAACATTTGTTAGATTTGTTGCTTGTTTTCCCAGTTAATTTTGATATTGGATTTTTGGATTAGCAAAAACCTTACCCTTACAATGTCACTTGTAGACTCTTGGTTTTCATTGATCAATTTTTTTTAATATTCTGCTTCATATTTTGCTAGGAGATGGTTTTATAACTAAATGAAAAATTTTACTTACCACATGTGATTAAATGAGAAATATTATAATTGAAATGCAGTGTTTGAAATCTAAATATAAAGTCACAGCTTAATGATTTTCATATCTGAAGTCTAGGATAATTTGGATATCAAATCTAATGATTACTAAGAAACAATGCACTTGCACTTAAATTCTCAAAAAAAGCACAATGGATATGTAGAACGTTAAAAATAAAGACTATTTTAGGTAGAGTGTAAGTATTACAGAATAGGGACTCTTTTGGTAAGTAGTGTATTGATGAAGAACAAGGAGAAGCACACACTCACTATGACAGATTTCAAGTATGGATTCAGCTATATCTCTTACTGTAGTATATTAAATCATATTAATACACATTCAAATATTAAAACAACCCACCTTAGTCATGATATCAGATTTAATTTGTTAACATTTTATATAAAAGTGTAAAGTGTATCCTCTTTGAATATGTAAAACTTTCCATTTTATGTGGAGCTCCATTATAAACAGAACTACTAAAATGTTTCTCAGAATTAAATTACAGGGTTCCCAAAAGAGGAAATTTGACTAAATAATTTTAATGACATATAAGAATATTAAAGTATAAATGTATTTACCATATTGTTTAAAAATTATTAAACATTTAAAAAATGAACTCATTTACCTATAAAATCTTAGATAAGGAAAGATTCATTAAAGATCATTGGCAGAGTCTGAAAAGTAAGTTAAAGAAACTGAAAGGGCCCTGGCTGGTGTGGCTCAGTGGATTAACCACCTGCCTGGGAACCAAAGGGTCACTGGTTCAATTCCCAGTCAGGGCACATTCCTGGGTCATGGGCCAGGTCCCCAGTAGGGGGTATATGAGAGGCAACCACATACTGATGTTTCCCTCCCTCTCTTTCTCCTTCGTTTCTCCTCTCTCTAAAAATAAATAAAATCTTCTTAAAAAAAAAAAGAAAGAAAAAAGAAACTGAAAGGAAACCCCAAACTCAAGACTAGCCTCCATTTAAACACACACACACAACTGTATAAAGCTGTTTACTTCTACCCATAAAATTTTTGTTGTGATATAAAGGATACAATATATTAAAATTAAAAGAAAAAAGTACATACCTGCCTTCTATATTCTAAAACAGGGTCATATACTTTCCATCCATTTTCAGGGAATATTTCTTTGTATTCAAAAGCAAAAAGAGGCTAAAAAAAGTAAACAGCTAAGAGTTAATAGCTAAACAGACATTTGAGGAGGTAATGAATCAGAAATGCATCCTTATCAAATCCATTGGTATCCTTTTTTAATATTGTTCTTCTAGCTTTTATTTTTATAATTTTAAAATCTTACTTTTTTTCATATACTTCAGACACACAGAAAAACACAGAGGTCCACCACCAAGATTTATTAAATGTTAATATGTCCCCATATTCCTTCCAGATATCATTGGTAGCTGTTCTAGGTATACTTCTAAATAATGAAAGACATTTCATAAAAAGGTATCTTCTAATATAATTAATTAGTTTGACATCACAGATACCAAGAGTTAAACAGCTTTGAAGTTTATGTTACATTTTCTAAATCATACTGAATAAACTTTTTAAATATTTTGGGGTATGTAATCTGTGTACAAAAAAATTAACTTATGCGGACAGAATGGCAGGAACCTATTAGTGAAAAGCATTCAAACTAGAATACTGATTCCAAATTTTACTCCCTGCTAACTAGATATGCCCTTGAGTCAATTACTTATCTTTTCCTGGATTCAACTTTAAAATTGGAACAAATAATATTTACCACCATAGCGCTATTGTGGAAGTTAAATTATATGACACAAATGAGAAAGCCTAACACTGCTGACAACACATTGTAGGAATTCCCTTTTAAAGTTACCTGCCCTCTTAAAGTTGCTACAGTGTCAATTCCAACTTAGAAAGATTTCAAACCCCAATAAACCTACATACAGCTTTTCATCATGGATACAACCTGGGTAGAAAGAACATACAATTACAGAGTGTCAGTACATAGGAATGGACCTTCAAAATCATCTAGTCCAGCTTCCTCATCTTATGCCTAAAAAATTTGTTTTTTTTCTTCACACATGAGGGGATCTTGTGTGCTGTTTAGAAATCTGGGTTGTCTCAGAAAATGAATTACAAAGATAAACTGAGGTGTGCTGAGGAAAAGCTTTCTCACAGTTACCACATCACGGTGTGGTGTGATCTTGTAAACTGGAAAGATTCACGTGGAACCTGACTGAACATCCATTTGTAAGACACAGAGCAAATAACAGCTTAACAGGTGATCCCTGCAGTGAGCTGAACGGTATCCCCCAAAACTCATGTCTACCCAGAACCTCAGATTATGCTAAAATCTTAATTATACATCTGGTTAAATAGCAAAGCAGGATTGTAAATGTAGAGATTCTAGAAGCCTAGACAAGCTTCTTTAAATTACATCAATAATTATAATACAGATTTTCAAAAATAAGAAGCATCTTACCAGATTATTAGAGACAGGAAATGCATATTTCATTAGATTCTCAAATATGGATCGTCTCGTTCGCCCCTCAGGTTTATGAGCAAACCGTAAATTTCGAATATCCTAGAAAGATTCAGGATCCAAGTCATCTATCATTGTTTACTTTTTATTTAATGAACAAATAAGGTAACTTGGAACTATCTTGTAAAATGTTAAGATCTGTGACTCTGTGATACAAAAATAAACCAGACATCTCTCCCAAAGGCAAGGAAATCACAAAACCTTACTGAGAGAAATAAAAAGAAACACGAGGCACTCCAATACAAGCAGAGTCAGAGGACAGGAAATTCCCCATTGCTTATGGACTCAAGACAGGTCAACAAAAGAGGGCACTGGAGATTAGAGATACTTTATCTGAAGCTTAATATCATGACTGAGACATACTACTAGTATATGTCCCTTACCTGGGGAAGCCAATTTCTGTCATTAATTTCTCTATTGAAAACCTGATTAATTGTTGTTGTATTTCTTCATGCCCATTAGGCCTGGTAATTGTTTTCCCACTTCAGATCTCTTCCCAGGACTCAATTCCACTGGATCTCCTCTTTGTGAGTCTCCTGCTACTACACTGATCCGAACTCTGCCTAAAGGCCTCCTTCCACTCCATGTCCAAGTTTTTCAACCACCTACTGCCAGATTAGACTCAACAGTTTGGTTGGTATCAGCCAGGCTCTGCAGTCATATCTAAAGACCCAGGTTCCCTTCCATCATTTGTCCTCAAAAACTTTTTCTGTATTTAGTCTGAATGTAGATATTCATGTTCTGGTTTACTGACGTGTTAATAGCACTGAGAAAAAATTTAGGGCTAAGAATAATTTCCAAACCTCATTTTATGTAAATGTTTTAATCTAGGCAGGACTCAAAACAGCTTTATTATACCCTATTCTATAAAATCAAACAGGGACACCCCACTACAATGTACCTATTTTACATGAAAAATGGAACATTTCACTACAAATCTGACCCAAAACTAGGATGCTAGCTCTACCCTCCTTTAAAAGAAACACATGCAGGAACCTAAACTGACACCTTGTTTTTCCTCAGAAATATCTTTAAAGATATTGAAAAGCACTCTGTTAACCACAGAGCTCTCTCTACCTACCACAGCACAAGCCCTACAAATGTCGGGGCTTGTTAATGGTCTTGTTTCATGAAAAAAAAATCATACCTAAAATGATCAAGGTTTCATAGTCAACCTCTTTCATTTTCTCTTTCAGTCTATGCTCTATTTACTTTTACACTACAAAAATGTGATCAGGAGACGATGTGCTGGACCCATGGTTGACAGTTATTACACTTAGAGCCATTCTGAATACAATGGAAAAGCAAAAAGAAATTGTTAACTCAGTCATTAGCTTTAAAAATAGATTCACAAAACTTCCAAGATTAATGTAGGAAGGTAGCTGGAAAGTTAGGCATGATCTGCTTTGGCAGATCAGCAGAAGAAAGGAAAAGGGCAATCTACAAAGAAATGAGATGTGAGCAGGTGTTAATTAGGCCACAGAGAGCAGAAGAGTGGCCTGCAGAAGTGGCACATGGTATTCAATATCTACAACTGGATGTTAAAATTGTAACAATCTGAGTTTCATTCAAATATTGATGCATTTAACGAATGCCAGTTAGATGAAACAACAGGGAGGGTCAGTAATGTCAGGTCTGCCCCATCACTGCTTCAGAAGCAGAAGAGAAAAAGCGGATGATGTTGACTGTATCCTAACCAGTTCTTCTACTACAAAGTGCCATGCCTCAGCTGCGCAAGTCCTTTTGTTTCTGATAGGCAAACTAAAGGTAATAATGTCTATCATGCCTATTTCAGTACTTTTATGAGGCTCAATATGAAATAATGAAAGGGAAAGTACTTTTTATTGAGTCCAAAAGAATTCAAGCCTAGTTCATGATAGATCAGGTTTTTATGACCCCTAAATGTTTTTTTTCCTATGAAAATGATATTTCTAGTGCAAATCCATTTGATTTTTGGAAACCAGTTTCTAAAGTAGGGGCTAATTAATAGAAAGCTTTCCAAACCAAATAAAATTTCATGCATATTATGAAATTTACCTTGCATACAGTCTCTAGTCCATAAGAGTTTTCACCTCGACTAGAAGCACCGCCAATTTTTTCTACTCTACTTATCACACCAAGAGACGCATCTAGAACAAATGGGGGATCCTAAAGGAAGGAAAGAAAAAAATAACCTGAGCAATCAACAGATACTATACAACTATAGGTGAGAAAAACCTTAATTAGTAATGATTTAATTAAAACTTATCCAACATGACTAAAGCTGTATGCAAACAACAGAGATGTACATACATAAATCCCACCCAACAAGTCTTACCCGTTCCATGCTTTTGAAATATAACCTGTAATTTGTCACAGTCAGGGTTCCTCGGACAGCACCAGTGAATGGACATATGTAAGTTACATCTTTGGCTGAAAAGGCAAAGAGTCCACAATTATTTACTATATATTGTACACTATTAAAAATGGCACTCTGATCTTTTCACAAATAAAATTTAATAGAATTCTGATTGCTATACAATTCATGCTAAAAAAATCACAGAACTGTGATTCAAAGTAAACACAGAAGCCAAACCCAAGCTTCCAACCATGCATTAATCTGGGGAAGAAACCTGAAATAATTAGAAAGGACTGAAGAGGCAGATGACACCCCTTACCCTGAGACAGAACAGAAGGAGACCAACATCGCCACTACCCCTGTTGGATAAAACAGATGCGGCTGTTGGAGTTGTGGCTGAGGGGTGGTGGTAAAGGTGGTTAACAACAGGAAACATCTCATGTCAGTCACCAGTCATCCTGTTAGAGTTTCAAGATCACCTCACCAATTTGTTGGTCTTCTGGCTACAGTCTAGTCTATCAACATGCCTCTAAAAGTACAGTATCTGAAACACGTAATAGCAGAAACTTCTGACTTGATTATATTTATGCAGAAATATTATAGGGAAGAAGTGCATTTGAAATGTAATTTCTTAGAAAAATAATAGTGTAATAAGAGGATAGTATATTCCTGACCAAGCAGCTGATGTCCAACTACAGGAAAATAATCACAAGCATTGTTTTATTAAATGATATAGGATAAATCTACACAGCACTAAGCCTTTTATTTAATTTTTTAAAGTTTTTATTTATTTTTAGAAAAAGAGGAAGGGAGGAAGAAAGAGAGGAAGAAAAACATTAACTTGTGAGAGAAACATCAATTGGTTGCCTCTTATACGTGCTCTGACTAGGGAGTGAAGCTGCAACCCAGGCATGTGCCCTTACTGGGAATCGAACCAGAAACCTTTCGACCTTTCACTTTGTGGGATGATGCCCAACCAAGTCACACCAGTCAGGGCAGCATTAGACTTTTAAAAACACACATTAATTAACTCAGATACCACTGCCTCCAAATAATATTTAATATGGTAAAGCTCATAATGCCTGATACAAAGTTTTTTAATATCTTAAAATATTCATAAATCCCTGCAATGTCATTATTGTAGCAAATCAGCAAATAGATATCTTCATTGTTCCAAGGAATTAAGGCACAATTAGGAGCAAAAAATTCCTAAGAACCTTAAAAGAGGCTTCTGGTAAAGCTTAAAATGCATTTAATAAGGTATTGCAACTTCCTGACTTTGCTTTTTAGTTACCACTTTGAAGAAACGATTGCTGTGTAAGGAATTTGAAATGAGAATGATTTTCTAACAAACATTTCTAACCTTCAAAATAGTTCCCTTGGGAATGTTCAAGTATGAGCAACATTTTTAAAATCATCATTTCTAATGAATGTTTCATTTAAAGGGAAGCTTTTAAAATTAAATAAACTCATCATTACAGAAAGATAGACAAACCTGCCTTGCATACATTTTGTCGTCCTTATGAATTTTTACCTCAACTAGGAAAGCTGTGTTTCCTGTTACTAAAATCATTTCTGTATTCCTTCTAGAGCCTGTTTTCTCATTCACACAAGAAAATCAGTCTTACCACTCTATGTTTCAATACAGAACATGTCCCTCTTTGACCAATGTTTTTGTTATACCTTCACTTTCATTTTAAAATCATAAGATAATATACATGAAAGTGACTCCAAAATTAAAAGTATTATACAAGAGTTTCTACCTACACTACTATTGTCATTAGGCTCTGCTTTGTTCTGTCTGCTTTACCCTTACCCCTTGGGCTGGGAGCAGCTTGGTCACTCTGAAGTCAAAGCTTATGCTTAGCAGGGTTTGAGTAGGAGGGAGACTGTGACTAGGAACAGACAAATGACAATAATAACAACCAGAGCAAATGACAATAATAATAATAACCAGCAATGATAGCCTAGCACTTCAGAGTATATAAAGTACCTTCCACCTGAGTACCTCTTTTTATCTTCATAAAAACCCTTAAATATAAGACCTGGAGTTAGCTACAATTTTTAGATGAGAATACTAGGGCTCGGAGAAGTAAAAACAAACTACCTAATGTTTCAGAACCAATAACTGCTAAGATTAAGACTCTTTGGATCTACCATTTAAGTCTTGAATCCATTTTGAATATATTCTTGTATGTAGTGTCAGAAGGTGGTCTAGTTTCACTTTTCTGCATGTATCTGTCCAATTTTCCCAACACCATTTATTGAGTAAACTTAGACCCAAAATCATAAAAATCTTAAGACATAGGCAGCAATAATCTCAGATGTAGCTCATAGCAGCATTTAATCAGTTATATCTCCTCAAGCAAGAGAAACAAAAGAAAAAATAAATAAATGGGACTACATCAAACTAAAAACTTTTTGCACAGCAAAGGGAAACATCAACAAAATAAAAAGACAACCCACAATATGGGAGAACATATTCACTGATACATCTGATAAGGGATTAATTTCCAAAATTCATAAAGAACTTACTAAACTCAACACCAAAAAAAACCCCAAAACAAAACAAAAAAACCCACAATTAAAAAATGGGCAAAGGATCCGAACAGACACTTCTTCAAAGAGGCCATTCAGATGGCCAATAGACTCTATGAAAAGATGCTCAAACTCACTAATTATCAGAGAAATGCAAATTAAAACCACGATGAGATATCAGTTCACACTTGTCAGAATGGCTATCATCAATAAATCAACAAGTGCTGGCAAGAATGTGGAGACAGGGGAACACTTCTGCACTGTTGGTGGGAATGCAGACTGGAACAACCACTGTGGAAAGCAGCATGGAAATACCACAAAAAATTAAAAATGAAACTGCCTTTCGATCCAGTGATCCTACTTCTGGGAATATATCTGAAGGAACCTAAAACACTACTTTGAAAGAACATAAGCAGCAGTATGTTTGTTGCAGCGTTACTAACAATAGCCAAGATATGAAAGCAGCCCAAGTGTCCATCAACAGATGAGTGGATAAAGCAACTATGGGACATTTACACAACGGAATACCACTTGGTTGTAAAAAAGAAGAAAATTTTACCCTTTGCGACAGTATGGATGGACCTGGAAACATTATGCTTAGTGAAATAAGCCAGTCAGATAAAGACAAATACCATATGATTTCACTCATATGTGGCATCTAATGAACAAACTGAACTAACAAGCAAAATATAGATAGACTCACAAACAGAGAGCAGGATGACAGCTAAGGGGGAGGGGGAGGGGGAGGGTAGAAGGTGGAGGGATTGAGGCAAAAGGACTTGTGGACATGGATAACAGTGTGGTGATTGTGGGGTGGGTATAAGGGGACTAAATGGTAATGGGAAAAAATGCAATTAAAAATAAATTTTAAAAAGATTAAGACTTGAATGTAGTTTCTCTGAGTATAAATTCAAATCACCACATTGTGCAAAAAAGCTGCTAAGTAGCATACAGTCTGTAGCCTGTGTCAAAAGATGCAACATTGCATGTGGGGCTACCCCTACTGCTAATGTGCCCGGCCATAGCATCTGAGACTGTTACTTCTCTAAAGCATTGCTGATGTTCCTAATACTACTCTAACTTTTATAGAAAACATCTAAGCCACAGATTTACATTAGACCAACTAAAAATCAAACATCTTTCCTACATAAATTAATATATTCAGTGTTACTCTAGCCTTGTACTTTAATGTATTAAATTTAATTTTTCACAATAAGTCTATATAGATGATTCTGAATCAGAATACTTAATATATTATATATTCCTCTGAATTTGCAGTACTAATACTGCCTATTGATACCATAAGAGCTCAGAGTTACTAATCCTCTCAAATTTTCACTGAGTTCACAGAGGAAGAATCCATAATAATTTCTATGAGGCAGACCATAATAGCCTTAACAATTCATATCTATAAGGATATAAAATAGATAAAATAAATGAAATAGTTGAGAACATAGTCTGTGCAGGCAAAGAGTCACAAAAGCATACTCTAGTACAGAGAAGAGAAAATCCATTCAGCTATAGACAAGGCTCAAGGAACACAGGCATGTGAGCTGTGCTCCAACAGCTGGTACCCTTTAGATGGGTAGAGATGGCAAGGCAGCACTCGATGCAGAGAAAGAACCTAATCCAATACACAGAAGTGGGAGTAAAGTAGTTGTTTGGATAGAGGTAAATATATTGTCTGGTTCTCTATAATTTATATTGTATCACACTGTCTCACTCCTCAGTTTCCCTCCCAGTTCCTTTTCTGTCATACAATTATAAAATGTTTACCAAAGCTATGTTCTTGGCCTTCTCACTCCATACGCTCTCTGGGTTATTTTCTTCCTCTCATTTTTCAACTAATATCCATTTTCTGATGGTTTCAAAATATGGGCTTCCAACCCTGGTCTGTCTCCTAAGCTCCTAAGACATCTCTCCTAGATATCTGCATTTGAAGTTTCCTATAGGTACCTGAAATTAAATTTACATAAATATGATACCAAGGGCTCATAAACATTGAGAAGAAAAGATTAATTCAAGAAATTCTTAAAGACTGACTCCTCTGGATCTGATAACCGATTAGATGTCAGAGTTTATAAAAAAGCAGTCTTCATATGATTAGCAGATTTCTGCCTTGAGTGAATGGACAGTTGTCTTTAATATTAACCCAGGGAGAGAATAAAAAAAGGAGTAAATTTAGGGATAATTTAGATGTTGGTTATGAGGGCTATTTATAAAATATCCAAGGGTATGTGTCTAAGATGTGGGCATTTTTTTTTATATGCATTAGAAACTGATATTAGTAACAACAAATTCTGGAGTCATCAGTAAATATACGGTAAATAAAGCTACTAATTTAGATATGGTCAACTAAAAAGAACATACAGGAGGGAAAAGGGAAATGGGTCAAGGATGAAGTCTCAAAGGGAGTCATGCTATTTAAAAAGAGGAGCCAACAGAAGAGACTGAGTGGTAAATTGAAATTCTTTCATAAGGCCATTTATCAAAGTGGCAAAAGAATGTGCTTTAGGTTCAGATGAGGGAAAAAATTTGTCACAAATGTTAGCTATAACTTATCTACCTAGGTAATCATCCTATGCTTTAGTTTCTTCATCTACTAAATGGGGTTAATATCTTCTCAGATGACTACTGTGAGGATGATTAAATTAGACAGTAAGCACACAATAATAACTATTGTTATTATATAATATCCAAATACCGATAATATGTACTGCCTAACTCAGTAAGCAGTTCATCAGAATAAGAGCTTAGGGTGTACATGAGGCTGAGTAGGGGGAAAAAGGGGACTGTGGGGATATTCAGTCAGGAGCGAAGAGTCAGAAGAGACAAATAACACAAAGTGTAAACGAACTAAATGTAATGTACACAACAATAGCCTATTTGGGTGCAGTTTCTCCCTTTGGTTTGCTTAGTTTTGCACAAGGAAATGACATCTGACCAGGGAAAAATAAGCATTTACTAAGTCCTTTTAAAATTTTAATTGATAATAAAATAAAAGGTGGTTTTACTTTGGCTAAGAAACCATGTATTTACTTTATTCTATTCTATTACTTTATATTCTCCTATTCTGTTATTGTATATTATATTATAAAAGCTATAGGTATTTAAAAGTAAAAGCATGAAGACAAAAATATAGCTCAAATGTTTGTATCTAGTTTCCAGACTATATAAGCTGATGCTTGGTTTTGTGGGCTGGAAGAAGAAAGGCATCCACATGCCAATGGCTTGCTTTGCAATGGAGATGAAATATTTTCATCCAAAAATTGACATCAGTTTATTCAGAGTAGGAAAAAATAAGGAAAAGAGAGAGAATGTGTTTTTAAGAAAAATTACATGTACAAAGTAACAATTCAATGTTTTCACCTAGGCAACCCAGTATCTTACTGTGGTAATTCAAAATAATGAAGTTTGCTTTCACAGAATTCAGAAACGGTTAAAAAATAAAGCTACCTACTTTCAACAAAAGTAAAGCAAACCAGAAATAACAGAATATTTGATTTGTATGTTCCCCTGCAGTCCAAATACAAACAAAACCAACAAGTCTAGACCTAGGCTTAAGAACACACTAACTGCTGGGAAGGCCGGCAGAACAAGCACTGCCAGACAGGAGGGGCCTCGGACAGCCTGTTCTCTGTCTATCGAGAGGGCTGAACAGTCTGCACAGTCAGAAAGGAGAAGGAAATTCAACAAAAAATACCATTACAGACCCATGTCTTTAATATTTTCTCCTGGAAGCAAGGGCGGTTCTTCCATTTCTGCTAATTTGTTAGACTCTCTCAGGACCTAGATTGGAAAATGGAGAGGGGCAAGAAAAGAAATATTTTTTTACTCAAAGGTTAATTTTTCACTCAAATTTCAACTGAATATGCTTCCTCTTACATAAAGTTATTATATTACAACACTGTATCAAATTATAAAAACTGCAATCTTGACATATATAACAATGTGAAGTTGCTATTTTTCTACAAAGCATTTACCAAGTGCTTACTTAGTAAAAGATACTATATATAAACACTTTACACATTTTCTCATTGAATTCTATAACAGCCTTATAAGGGTAGGTGTTATTATCCTCAATCCTAGAAGAGGACAAAAAGGGTAGAAGTGACCATTTGTTCAAGGTCACATAGCTAAAACGTGTCAGAATCTAGATTTGAATTATAGTTTTTAGTGGACTACAAAGCCCATTTTCTTTCCAGTAAGCCATGCCTAAAGGCCTTACTTAGTGCATTTAAACACAAAGTAAATCAAGTTCTTACGTAGATTTAACTTTTATAGAATTTGGAAATGATGTTAATAAAGAATCTTGTTGAAAAAGAGATATTTAAATTAATTAAAATCATGATCAACAATGTTACTGAGTAGTTACCTTATGAAAGATGCTACACTGGATTGCAAGAATGTAAAGATATGGAAACACAGTTTTCTAATGCAGTTACAACTCAGAGAAGACACACACATACACAAACACACACAAAGTGGGTCACATGTCAAATACATCCCTTAGCTCCTACAAGCCTCCCCACTCCATCCCTTTCACTCCCAAATAATAAACTTCATTATTAACAATTCTTTACTTCCCATTAATTCCTAAACATTCTGGAATCTGGCCTAATCCCGTGCAGGAGTTGCTTTCTCCCCAATAAATTCCTCATCATTAAAGATAATGGACATTTTAGTCTTTATTTTTATCTGTTTGTTACTTTTGACACTATCTGCACACAAGCTTGGCTAAACATCTCTGGCCATTCTTTTTCAATGACCTTTACATTATCTTTCCTTAACCCTCCCTATCCCTCAGAGGTTTGTCCATTTTTCATTTAGTCACTTCCTGTTGATTTCATACTTCATCTATGACTTCAACTACTTTCAATCTACATTGACAGTGGAGATTTTTCTCGGACTCTACTTCCATGCCTCCAGGTGACTAATGTTCCTCCCCATCTAAATGTCCCACAGATACCTTGAACTCAGCAGCTCTCAAATTGACCTGTCTTCCATACATAGCAAGTAGCACTACCATCCATTTCGTTGTCTAAACCAGTTCTGGGGGAGGGCCAAGCAGTAGTCTCTGTGAGCAGATGCAAGCCTCCTATTTCAACCTTGATTTGTTTCATCAGACTGAAAACCAAGAGCACTAAAATAAATGACTCTCAAACACTTTTTTAATCCTCACAGGATATGTTTATTGATCTTAGAGAGAGGAAGGGAGAGGTGAGAGGAGAGAGAGGGAAGCAGTAGGGAGAGAGGAGGAAAGAGAAACATCAATCAGTTGCCTCCCATATATAGCAGAAACAGAGGGACTGAACCACAACCTAGGTATGTGCCCTGACCAGGGATCAAACCCACAATCTTTTGGTGTACAGGATGATGCTCCAACCAACTGAGCCACAGGTCAGAGCAGCAAACATTTTTTAAAAGCTTTTGACTTTCATTTTCTTCAACCCAAAAGTAGACTTGAGAGTTCTCAATAGAAGGTATAAAAGGAAGAAAACACAAGGTACTGAATATTAACTGCCTTAAAAGACCTTCTGCAGGTTCTCACACTGGGTTAGATGTCTCCTATGCATGAGCTCCAATGTGGCACTTACCACCTACTTTAGCTGCCTGTCTGACTTCTTCCCAACCAGACTCCTAGAGAAGAGGTACCCCATCTTGTCCACTTTTGAATACTCAATGAAAATTGAATATTCAAACAGGAGCCGTATGTGCTATTTTTAATGGTCTAGAAGCCACATTTTAAAAGGTAAACACAGGTAAAATTGATTTTAACATATTTTATTTAATCCAGTAAGTCAAAACCATTGTCATAAAAGTGTAATAAATATTTTAGAAGTATTAATGAAGATTTCTGGCCAAGAGGGAGGTGTAGATAGATAGGTTTCACTTCCTCACACAGCCAAAAGAAAGACAACAACCAATTTAAAAACAAAAACAACCAGAACTGCCAGAAAATTTAACTGTATGGAAGTCCAACAACCAAGAGTTAAAGAGGAAACATTCATCCAGATTGGTAGGAGGGGCGGAGATGGGCAGCCGAGGTGGAGAAGACTCATGGCGAGGTGGCAGCAGGTGGACCAGGCAGTCCCACATTCGTGTGTGGATAAACAGGGAAGTACAACTGGGGAGCGAGACAGACCATGCAACACAGGGCTTCAGTGCAGGGAAATAAAGCCTCAAAACCTTTGGCTATAAGAAGCTGTGAGGGTTGTGGTGGCAAAAGAAACTTCCAGTCTCGCACAGGGGAGAGTCTGTTGGAGGGGCCCATGGGGTCCTAGAATGTATACAAACCCACACACCCAAAATCAGCACCTGAAAGGTGCAATTCGCTTGTGGGTAGCGGGGGAAGTGACTGACAATAGGCTGAGAGCTGAGCAAGTGGCATAGTTCCCTCTCTGATGCCTCCCCAACAACAGTGACACAAGACAGGGAAGTGGGATGGCCTACCCTGGCGAATACCCAATGTTACACCATTACAATGTAACAGGTGTATTGAAACAAAGAAATATGACCCAAGTAAAAAAACAGATAAAAATTCCAAAAATAGAACTATTCGATGAAGAGATAGCCAACCTATCAGATGCAGAGTTCAAAACACTGGTAATCAGAATGCTCACAGAAATGGTTGAGGATGGTTGCAAAATAAAGGAAAAAGTGAAGGCTATGAAAAGTGAAATAAAGGAAAATGTACAGGGAACCAACAGTAACGGGAAGGAAACCAGGACTCAAATCAATGATTTGGAAAGAAGGAAGAATAAACATTCAACTAGAACAAAATGAATAAGAATTCAAAAAAATGAGGAGAGGCTTAGAAACTCTTGGACAACTTTAAACGTTTCAACTACTGAATCACAGGGGTACCAGAAGGAGAAGAAGAGGAGCAGGAAACTGAAAACTTATTTGAAAAAACAATGAAGGAGAACTTCCCCAGTCTGATGAAAGAAATAGACTTCCAAGAAGCTCAGAGAGTCCCAAAGGAGTTGGACCCAAGGAAGCATATACCAAGACACATCATAATGACATTACCCAAGATTAAAGATAAGAAGAGAATCTTAAAAGCAAGGAGAGAAAAGAACACAGTTACTTACAAAGGAGTACCAATAAGTCTATCAGCTGACTTCTCAAAAGAAACCTTACAGGCAAGAAGGGGCTGAAAAGAAGTATTTAAAACCACGAAAAGCAAGGACCTACATCCCAGATTGCTCTATCCAGCAAAACTATCATTTAGAATGGAAGGGCAGATAAAATGCTTCTCAGATAATGTCAAGTTAAAGGAGTTCATCATCACCAAGCCCTTATTACATGAAATGTTAAAGGGACTTATCTAAGAAAAAGATGATCAAAACTATGAACAGTAAAATGACAACAAAATCACAATTATCAACAACTGAACCTTAAAAACAAAAACAAACTAAGCAAACCAGTAGAACAGGAATAAAATCACAGAAATGGAGATCACATGGAGGATCTTCAGTGGGGAGGAGGAAAATGAGGGGAAAGGGTACAGGGAATAAGGAACATAAATAGTAGGTACAAAATAGACTGGGGAGGTTAAGAATAGTATGGGAGATGGAGAAGCCCAAGAACTTATATGTATGACCTATGGACATGAACTAAGGTGGGGGAATGCTGGAGCAGGGGGATTGCAGGGTAGAGGTGGATAAGAGGCAGAAAAAAATGGGACAACTGTAATAGCATAATCAATAAAATACACTTAAAAATAAAAAATAGAAATTTTTGGTGCACAGCAAAGCCTTAAGTTGTTATATCTTCATAACCCTACTATAGTCAAAAGAACAAAAAGAAGAGGAAAAGAAAAGAAAAAAGAAAGAAAAAGATTTACTGTCGTCACATTAACTTGTGAGTCTTAATTTCATCGTTTATATCATGATAATATTAAAATCTATATAGGTTTGTAAGTATGAAATGAGATAGCTGCAACATACAGGGATCTGCAAAATGCTATTAAATGTAAGAAATACCCACTAATCACTCATTAATAACTGAAGCAGCAACAGAAGTTTTTCACTATCTCTTCACACAATGGTCTATTCACACGGTGGTTTGTGTTTCTGTTGTAAAGTAAATAGGAATTAATGATACCTTACAAATGTCTGACCCTGTAAAACCCCTTGCATTAATCTCATAACAATAAACATAATGTCTCCATAATGTCCTAAATAAAATACCAGATATACTAAATAAAATACACAGGCATTAATATTTGAGAGCATGTCATAAAAAGAACCATAAACCTAACTCTTGAACTACTGACTTCTAGCTTTAGCTACAGAATAGACAGCATCCTATTCTAAAGAAAGCAAGATCAGGAATGATGTCAGTGTCATGGCAGCGTAAGATAGCCCTCATTTTTGTTGCCCTTTAACTTCTAAAATTTGGCATCTATCTATGAGCAAAAGGGCCTCCATGGGAGCTATGAAATCCAGCACCATATGCCAAGGGACCCAGGAGGAGTCTCACCCACTAGTGCATTAGGTAGTAGACAGATAGACCCTGGGAAGGGCTGTGGAACCAGCAGGAGTCTGTGAACTGACTCCAACCTCTCTTGGCCACAGCACCTGGAAAACACTGACTTGGGTATACACTTACAGATGAGAAAGCATTCATAGAAATCCAGGTTTCTACAGAAGTTCCAGCACTCTGCTGGAGCAAAAAATATATATGTTTGGATGCATCAGAGTGGATAAGAGGAAGTTTGCCAGCATCACCTTTACCCATAAGGCAGCACATGTTAGAGAAAGAGGAAGTTGGGGATCCCTCCT